CGGGATCGAGTCCCGCATCGGGCTCCCTGCTCAGCGGGGAGTCTGCTTCTCCCTCTGACCCTCCCCCCTCTCAGGTACTCTCTCTCTCTCTCTCATTCTCGCTCTCTCAAATAAATAAATAAATCTTTTAAATAAATAAATGAATGAATGAATGAATGAATGAATAAATAAATAAATAAATAAATAATGCATGGTGGGTGGGGCACCTGGGTGGCTCAGTTGGTTAAGCATCTGCTTTCGGCTCAGGTCATGATCCCAGGGTCCTGGGATAGAGTCCCACATGGGGCTCCCTGCTTAGCAGGGAGCCTGTTTCTGCCCCTTCCCCCTGCTCATGCTCGCTCTCAGTCTCTGTCTCTCTCCCTCTGTGTGTGTCTTAAATGGATAGATAAAATCGTTAAAAAAAAAAAATTCCAAAGTGAGAACATTTATAAAAGGTCATTATCCTGTTACCTTGTGCATACAAATTGTTCAAATTATTTTTTCATTACTTATAGAACGCATTTTCATTGTTCAATTGACATACGTTGCTACTTGTGAAAACTAGTTGGGGTCCAAGGTTAGGATGGCTTGCATCCCGATTTTTCTTATTGAAATGCAAAATAGAAAAGACTGATTGGTTTTTTATTGAATGACTTTGCACTTGGTTACAGGGTTAAAAGTTCAATTTTTAAGTTGGCTTAACCAACCTGTGCTCCCAACGGCCACCTGCATACTTCTAAAGTTCCACTTACTGGCCTATTCCATCACCACAAAAATGTCAGGCCTACCACAGCATGATCAAAGGCAATTAATTTGTAGCAACGATATAATTCATATCCATCCAGTGTTCCAGGACACAGTGGAAGAAATTAGCCGGAGAAACGAGATCCACCTGAGTCTGGGCCTGCTCACTTCCCCAGCGTCACCGTCTACTGCTCTAGGGATACCTGCAGAGGGGGCGCCTACTCGGAGCTGTCCCCCACCGCGCCCCGCAGTCTCGGGCCCAGTGCCGACGCCCCCAGTGTTCCCGGGGAGGGGGGGCTCACGCTCTCCTCCCCCTCGCCCCCGCCGGCGTCTCCGCCAGGCCTTGGATTGTGCTTAATGCCAGGCAGCCGTAGGAACTAGGAGGAAAACAAAGGGAGTAGGGGAGGTCGACGGGACCGCAGTTTCAGATAGGGTGGCAAAAGTGAACCTCTCCCGGGGGGTAACATCAGTGCAGGTCGCTGCGGGAAGAGAGGCGCCCGTGAGTGGGGCCACAGAGAGAGCAGGGTGTGAGAAAATTTGCTAGAACGGAAGAAGCCCTTAGCAGCGCCAGGCTCAACCTTAACCTTGGCACACATGGGGCACCTCTCCCAGGACCACGTGAGGATCTTAGTCTAAGGTGGTTTAGAATCCCCGTTCTTCCGCTCCGCCGCAGACCCCGCCCCTCAGGCCGGAGGATCCCGCCCCCTTAGACATGTTTACGCCCCCACAGCCACAGCCTCCTCCTCCGCTCCCAGTACGCGCGAGGCGGGGCTCTCAGACCAGGCCAAGCCTGCGTCCTCGTCCCTTCCCGCCCTCGCCAGGCCCCGCCCCTCGCCTCCGAGTCCCCTGGGCGAGTCCCGCCCCTTCAGCCGAGACTCCGCCCCTCCCGGTCTGCAGTTAAAGAGCTGAGCGTCAGCGATTGGTTTGAGTCAGAGACTTCGTCCCCTAATTGGCTGTGCTGTACGGCCGGCTTCCCGCAGTACGGGATAACCCGGAAGTGATTCCTGAGGCCCGGGCCGCGTGGATTCGCCTGGCGCGGGGTATCCGTTTGCCGCGGCCGCTGCGATGACCAAAATAAAGACAGATCCGGACGGGCCGGAGGCTCAGGCGGAGGCGTGCCTCGGGGAGCGCACTTACCACGAGCTGCTGGTGAATCTGAACCCCATCGCGCAGCCCCTGGCTTCTCGCCGTCTTACGCGGAAGCTCTACAAGTGCATCAAGAAAGGTGCTTGCGGCCGCCGCGGTGGCCGGTGGTGGCGCGGGGGGCGGGCCGACGCCCCCCGATTGACTCTTCTGTCGTTGCAGCCGTGAAGCAGAAGCAGATTCGGCGCGGGGTGAAGGAGGTTCAGAAGTTTATCAACAAAGGCGAGAAAGGGTAAGGCCCCCCTGCCGTCGGGTGTTGCGTTTCTGGACGGTAGCACGGGTATCCCCACTGCTTGGGAGGTGCTCGGCGAAAGTCGGTAAATGTGATCCGCCCCCTATACACAAGGTAATGGAGCCACCGGTGAGTTCCCTCTGGTACACGTCACTCACAAGAGCTCAGAGGAACACCACCGGGAAAGTGAGTTCCGGGGCTCACGCAGGGTCGAGCCCAGCTTCACTGAACCCTCATAGAAAGTCCTGAGATACCTGCGAAGGAATGTACAGGGCGCAGTGAGAATGCCTTCATGACATCTTTCTCCCCGTCAGGCCGGACCCTAAAGCCTCTCAGTGCTCGGTCTCTGAAGTATCCCGGTACCTTGTTGGTGCTCAAGAGATAAATCGTGCTGGGGGGATGTGATGCTTAGTGGGAAGTCTGACCTAGGGCGCAGGTGTTCTGCCAGAAGATACTGGGTCCCAGGCAGGAGAGAGGATAGTGGTCGACAGAAGCATTGCCTCTCCTCGGGCTTCCTAAAACATGGTGAATTGAGTTTTTGTACTCAGAGCTTTGCAGGCCACCGAGGGTTAAAGCCAGGGAGTGACATGATTGTGTTTACCCTTGTGAAGATTTTTCTGGCAACTCTGGAAAGGATCAGGGGCACAAGAGTAGACGAAATTGAGCTAGGAGGCTGCCCCAGTGTAGGAGAGGTGAGGGCGATGTTGATTAGGTTATTGGTGGCTGAAACAGAATTAAAGTGGGTGAATCTGAGAGGACTTTGGGACGCGGAGTGAGGAGGTCTTGATTCCAGCTGAGTAGAGGGCCCCCTCACTGATACAGTGAACAGTGGAGGGGCCCAGGTTTGTGTGGGAAGATCACGAGTTTGGTGCCTTTTAGACATGTGACACCCCCCTCCCCCCAGCAGAACTGTCAAATAGGCAGATGGCCACACAGACTGGGGGCTTGGAAAGGAGAGGCCAGGCAGAAGAGAACAGATTTGGGAGTTGTCAGCACATACATGGCACCTGATGCCGTGGCCGTGGCCCAGGTCAGCCAGGGAGAAGGTACTGAGAGGGCAGCCAAGGATTAGGCTGTGAGGAACCAGCACTGAAAGGCCACTCGAAGGAAGGGGTGCCAACAGAGGAGCCTGGAAGACAAAAGGAAAACTAGGAGAGTGGGCCCAGTATGTGGAACCAAGAGCTCTTTCCTTGTGTATGCCTCTCACCCCCCTGGACAACACTCTTCCTTGGTGTCTTCAGGACTCCGAAGGCCCTTGCCCCAGAGCCCTGACACCTTGCCAGCCAGGAGTCCTACCTGAGGGCTCTCGGGCAAGCCTTCAGAAGTTCCCTGTGACTCTGGGGACTGAGCTCAGGCTTCCCAGCCTGGCACTCAAGGCCCCGGGGTGTGGCTGCTGCCCATCTCTCTAGCCTCCTTGTCTGCCCCCATCCCTACCCTGGATTTCAAAGCCATCCCAGGCCCTCATCCGCCAGCTCCTGGGTTATGTTCAGCCATTTGGATTCTCTCAGCCTCAAATGCTTTCCTCTCCTCCAGCCCCTTCAAGGGCTGCCTGACACCTTCATTCAGCTTTCTGATCTAGTGTCGCCTCCTGATTCCTTTTTTGACTCTCCAAGGAGAGCTGAGCTCTCCTCACTCCTTGGTGTCACTCCCATAGCTCACCTGTCCCAGTGGAATCCCACTTGTCGCCCTGCGTGGCATTTACTAATTTGCCAAGAACTAGGGCTCACCTCCCCAGAGGAAGTGATCACCAAACACAAATTTGCACGCACTTTCAGAAGGTGGGAGATTTACATCTGGGGTCCTTGAGGGCCGAGGCCATTTTCTCTGTCCAGAGGTAGGATAGCACTATTGACTGAAAGAAGGAATGGGCAAGTTAGAAATGACGGTGTTTCTCTCACCGCAGGATCATGGTTTTGGCAGGAGACACGTTGCCCATTGAGGTCTACTGCCATCTCCCAGTTATGTGTGAAGACCGCAACTTGCCCTACGTCTATATCCCCTCTAAGACGGTAAGGCACACACGATCCCCCCCGGATCTTGGTCAGCACTGGAGGAGGGGGATCTGGCAGCGGGTCTGTGGGAGCAGGCCATAGTGGGGAAAAATGCAGGCTTTGGAGTTGAGACTGATGTGGATGGATCCTTGGCTCTGCTGGTCCCTGGTTCAGTCTCCTTCTCGGAAACTGGGAATTCCTGCCCTTATGGACTGCAGGAATGACAAAGGAGGTGTGCTTGGACCTGCTCCGTCAGTGCAGATGCCAAGCCCGTGTTAGTCCTGATGGGTGGTTGCAGTGCTCAGGGAAGAAGGGGGTGTTGAAGGGACCGTTAGCTGGCCCGGTCCTCACGTAGGGACCAGGAGAACACAGGCCCTGCCTCAGGCGGCAGCCTCTGGGACCAGAAGCCCAGTGTAGGCCCAGCATGGTGGGCCTGAGGCTTGAAAGTTGGCAGAGTTGAAATGCCAGTGTGACGTGTCTGAGGGCTGGATGGGGCCAGTGGGTCAGGGGTCCTTGACTCCCCGGCATACAAGCAGTGCAGCCTTCCCCCCCCCGCCCATAGGCCTTCCTTCCCTTGTCCGCAGGACCTGGGTGCAGCCGCGGGCTCCAAGCGCCCCACCTGCGTGATCATGGTCAAGCCACACGAGGAGTACCAGGAGGCTTATGACGAGTGCCTGGAGGAGGTGCAGGCCCTGCCCCCGCCCATGTGAAGGACTCGGGCACCTGCTCTGGAAGCTGCGGGGCTGGCGGTGGGCCCCGCGGCCTGCCTTCTTCCCAGGCTGCTCCATCAGCTCTTTCCGGAAGGCGGAGCCAGCATCCAGCATCTTCTGTTGCGCGCGTGTGCAGATGGTCTGAGAATGGAGCGTGGGGAAGTAAATGCTAAGACTAAAGTGTGCTGAGCCTGTGGGTTTGTTTTTCGCCAGCAGCTGCTGGTGGGGCCAAGGAGGTGGTGGGCAGGAGAGAGTGGATACAGCCTTTCTCACCAGGGAACCCGACGGACTCAGAAGTTGCTGCTTCTGCTGGGCCGCCGGGGCTGGTGCCAGACCCCAGCAGAGAACACTCTTTGCTGCCCACCCCAGGCTTCCGCCTCCCACTGGTGGGAGCCACACCATAAGGCTGCTGCAGCAGATGCCATACACAAAAGCCTGCGGCCCCTGTGTTGGGGACACCCCCATTCCTCCTCCTTCCTTCCCCTGCCCCTACAAGCCCGAAATGCCACTGGGAAACCTCTGGAAGCCATTTAGCCACGCATACAGCACATCTGAAGTAGGCATATGAAGCTAGGGACAAACCCCAGGCCAGCTCTCCTGCTTGGTGTAATGACCCCGGTGACCCAGTCCCTTCAGACGTCTCAGACTTTGGGTGTCTTCCTGCTCTCTGAGGCCCAGCACGGGGCTCAGTGTGGACACAAAGCAACCAAGCTCTAGGCACCCTGGAGTCAACCGCAAAGAGCTTGGGATGGAGGGTTGGATTCAGTTCCAATTCCGAACTGTCTCCTTTACAAGCTGTGAGCCCTGTAGGGCAAGTCCGTTCATCTTCCTAAATCCCCTCGCTCCGCTTCCTATTCCTAGTAAGGAGGGCATCAGATTTGACTCGTTTGTGTAAAAGCATCAGGCCCGTGGTCTGAGGTGACATCCCTGGGCCTTTTCACCCAGGCAGAGAGGCATGCTGGGTTCTCTCTGGGCACGGTGAGGCTGCAGTAACTCCTTGTCCGTGAAGCTAAAGGCGGGTGAGGTAAGGAGAAGGCCTGTGAATATATTTGCTCAGTTATAAAACCAGGGCATTCGGTTCGAACCGGACTATTTACAGTGGGGACTGGATACATACAGTGGGAGGGGCGGGCACGGTGCTGGGGACAGGGCTGAAAAGGTCTGCATTGCTGGCCAAGTGCTTTGCTTCTCTGTGGGCTACTACGAAGTCACTGGCCGAGAGAAACAGGGCAACCGCAGGAGTGCCGAGGCCAGTGTCTTCCTGTCCTTCCGGCCAAGGAGCTGGCTGCCTGGCACAGACGGGTTCATCTCCCTTCTTGGCCTCCGCCCACGGTGGCGCTCAGCCAGTCGTTCGGAAATGAACCACAGTCCACTGAAGCTAGCCACCCCCCACCGGGGCAGAGCAAGGCTCATGGGTGGAAAGCCCTTCTGACAAAGTTCCTTTGAGGCAGGTATCAGAATATGATGCGTTTCCCATCGGCTGGGTTCTGCTCCATGGGGCAGTAGGGACACTTCAGCCTGCACAGGGAGAACAGACAATGTCTTGGGGGCTGGCTGGTTGGGGGGAACCGAGCCAAGATGGCGCAGAGCCCAGGACACTTACTTTCCTCCATTGATGAGCTTGTTGAGGGCGTCTCGGGAGATCACGTGGCCACAGATGAGCTTGATGGGAGGGTTGGAATCTGACGTCTGCTGCCGGAGGATGGGGCACGCGAACACCGAGTGGTACCAGCACTTCATGCCCAGTTCAATCTCAATCTGGGGAAGCCAGCGGAGGACTGAGTCCCACTTCCAGCTTCGGCTGCCTTTCCAGGGCCTTCTGCCCACACACCCCCACGCCCCACCCCGCCCTGCCAGGCCTCACCGGTAGCTCGTCCTTGTGACTCCAGACCCCTGTGCACTGCCTCTGCTCAATCACAGCCTTAATGTTCATCAGCACAGGCAGCGCCACACAGCCAGAAGCAAAGCTGCGGAACAAAGAGCAGGGGCTGCAGCGGCCCACACCGAGAGCCCAGCAGACAGACAGAGGCACCAGCACACTGGTCGTCGGCCTGTGTCTTGGGGCGGGGTGCTCAAGTGGCACATGGTCAGACTGATCCTTGAAAATCTCCCCGGTCGCTCATAAAGCACCAAACAGGTAGCTATGTGTGTCCGACCCTAGCGTCATTCTAATGCACCCCAGAGTTTGGGGACCTATGGGAAAAACAAAAGGAAGATCTAGGGAGCAGATACCTGCTCACCCAAACCACTGGAATGCCGCTGGTGTGATGGAGCCAGCGATCAGTTTCAAAGGGCCCCAGCCTGCCTGTCTCCCCCACTCTGCTGTCGTAATGCCCATCTGCAACCGGTTACCGTCAACGCGGACACTCAGACACGGGGGCAGATCCGAATCTCGCAGTGACTCAGGCAGGGGCGGGGAGTCAACTGGCTGGCACCTCGAGGGCTAAGTACCTATGATGCTCAGGAAAATCGTGCACCCGAGAACCATCGTGAGGTGTCCCTGGCGTTTCTGCTGGGAAACACTGTCCTTTAACTGGAAACCTTCCCCCTGGGGTGGGGCGGGAGATGCACTGTGGTGCAGCGTGGGATTCTGGGACCGGGTCCATGTGCCCTTTATTCCCTGCGAGGCCCTGGGCAAGTCCGCGCGTGCCTTGGGCCTGTGTGTTTTGTCATCTGTAAAATGAGGAAAACTACCTGTAATTCCTAGGGCCTCGTGGAGTCATGAGAACGTTACTGTGCAGGAGCCTTCCAGGGGAAAGGTCTCCATACGTGTTACTCAGGCACTTTCAAATCTCCCCAAAGGGAAGTGGTCTGAGGGAAGGCCAGGCTGCAGAGGGTCTTGTGATAACTCAGGGGGGAGGTGCAGGCAAGAGAGAGACCTCATTCAAAAGACCTTACAGAAGGGGAACCTTGGGCGCCTGGGTGGCTCAGTCGTTAAGCATCTACCTTGGGCTCAGGGATGGAGCCCTGCATTGGGCTCCCTGCTCAGCGGCAAGTCTGCTTCTCCCTCTCCCACTCCCCCTGCTTGTGTTCCTGCTCTCGCTATCTATGTCAAATAAAATCTTAAAAAAAAAAAAAAAAAAAAAAAAGGAACCTTGACCCTGCCACCGACCTTGCAGGCGAGACAGAGACCTCATTCAAAAGACCTTACAGAAGGGGAACCTTGGGCGCCTGGGTCGCTCAGTCGTTAAGCGTCTGCCTTCAGCTCAGGTCATAATCCCAGGGTCCTGGGATCGAGCCCCACACTGGGCTCCCTGCTCAGCAGGGGGTCTGCTTCTCCCTCTCCCACTCCCCCTGCTTGTGTTCCTGCTCTTGCTATCTCTCTCTCTGTGTCAAATAAATAAATAAAATCTTAAAAAAAAAAAAAAGAAGGGGAACCTTGACCCCGCCACTGACCTTGCAGTGACGGCAGGCCACAACTCTTCCTAACCTCAGTTTCTCCAACCGTAAAATCAGATAATTCCTCCCCGGAAGCATGACTAAGAGAGCCAGTTTAGGTCTGAAAGAACCAAGGACCACCCCTGGCACATGGAATGGCCTCCACCAATTGTTTCCCCTGAGACCCTCCCACTTGTGCTGCCCCCACAGGGCTGCCCTGTACCTGACACTGAGGGGCGACTCCACCGAGAGCCCCAGCAGGGAACAAGCATCCCGGGTAAAGGTCTCGCAGATCTCTGCCCAGTGGCTGTTGTCCAGGAGGTGGCAGTAGGGGGACTTCTCCAAGCCCAGCCGCAGGTACACCAGGCTGCCCATCATCACCTGGATCTCTGCAAGGCAGGCACAGGTCAGGGCGAGCAGGGGATCAGAGGGCGCAGGCTGGGCCTCGCAGATCCCAGGCCCCTGACCAGGAGGAACGGGCCCTGAGATGCCCTCAGGCAAAACTGATTTTCACTAAAATCCAGTGTGGAGGCAGAGTCTCGGGGCTGCTTCTGCAGGAGAAGGACAAGCATCAGGCACAAGGCAATCCAGTAGGGAGCTGAGTTTGAGTTCTCTTCCCATCCTTCCAAGTGCACCAAGGAGCGAGTCTCAGGTTAGCGCTCACGTTTTTCTTCTCCAACACTAGCTACTCTCCCTTTTAAAAACTTTCAGGTGGTATCTAGATTTACTGACAGTGCTTGGTCTTTATGATTTCACAAAATGTGAGGTAACACATGGGTAGGAGTGGAGCTAGAGAACCAGTTACTACCAGTAGGAGTGGTTACTAATGGTGAGTATCTGGAAGGGGAGACTCCACAGACTGAGGTCTGGAAATCCTGGTGTGATGGAAGGAAGCTGTGGAGAGGCGCCGAGTGAGTCTTAAGGAAACGAGTGGGCTGCCTCTAGGTGGGCGAGGCCCGGGCTGAGGCGCAGCGGCACACATGGCCCTGTGTGCTGAGTGTGGGTGTGCCCCACAGCAGGTGTGCAGAGCGGCCTGAGAAGAAGCTGGAAGGATATGGCACAGGCGGATGCAGGGGAAGAGCGTGGGGTTTGGAGTTCACTTGGGAGACGGTGAGGGAGGGGTCAGAGTTCTCAGATTGGGGAAAGGCATCCTGGTTACACACAGCCCCTCAGGTGGGGCAGGGACTCGGAGCCCAACCCCCTGAGCCCTGCTGACACCTGCCGGAGCCCGGCAGCCCCCACCCCAGCACCTGAGCACTTACCTCGCTGGTGCAGCCGTGCAAACGGCTGAAAGTGCCGGGCATAGCTGAGGGCCTCCAGCTGCCTCTCAGGGCCGCCTGCCAGGAGGCGGATGAAGTGTAGGCGGTGCAGCTTGAACTCCAGGGAGCTGTTGAGCTCGAGCAGGCGCTGCCTGTGAGAGACAGCCCATCTGGGGAGAAAGGGAGCTGGTGGGGCAGGAGAAGGGGCCCCGGTGGAGCCGGGACTGAGAGGTGGGCTCCCAAAGCCAAAGTGAGGCCCATGAGACAGGGCTGGAGGCGTGTCGAGTACACCAGGTGACAGAAGACCACAGACGGGCCCCGTCCCCTCACTGGCCCATCCGAGGGCCAACTTACTCCAATGCCGGCCCTAGGTCTTGTTCGTGCAGAGCTTCCAGGATTCGATTCAACTCGAGGAAAGGCTGCTTAAAGTCCAAGTCCACGTTCAGTGTTGACTCCTGTGGGGAGAGCACAATCCCACCGCTGAAGGAGTCTGTTTCCAGAACATTCCAGTTCTGGAAGGCTGAGTGTTGCAGGCTGGCCTCCCGGAGCGCAGACTACAAAACCTAACCCAGCCCCAGGGTCTTAGAGACCTGTGTTGAGTAGCATGGTGAGAAAATGATTCCTCTTCAGTCCTCTTAATCACATTGAGAAAGTACCCTTACTTTTATTACTAGTGTGTTTTTAGCACCTAACAAGTGCTACTTTGTCATGTTACTAATCTCCCTTTTTAAGAAAGCGGTATCAGGCGTCAGCTCAGAACCTTGGCCGGCAACCAACTCTAGCTAGAGATTCATGGCTTCACTTGCCATCGTATGTATTTTTAGAGCTATCTTCTATTTATGGCAGGGGCAATGATTTCCCTTCTAAAATAAGTTTATATAAAGAAGAGGAAACCAAATATAAAGACAGCCATCGAGTAGAAGCAGAAGAGACAGGTTCCAGCGCCTTCCCGGCGAGGCCATTACCTGGCACAGCTCCTCGGCAACGCTCAGCATACCCTGCTGGTATAGGTGCTCCACAATGGCCATCTGCAGGACCTGCTGCTGCTTCTCCCGAGAGTCCCACACCGCATCGGAGACGACACCGCAAATCTCAGAGTCAAAGTTCTGACAAGGACAAGAGACAGGGCCCTGTGACTCAGCATTCGCCTTTCCTGCTGAGCTCCGCCCCCCAGGCACTAGCTCCGGGGTGTCCCCACCCCCAGCCCGAGGCTGCCTGCACGCTCACCCTGTCGATGGCTTTGCCTACTCGGGAGACGCTGCTGTGAATGTCCTTGTGGTCCGAAGCCAGTTTCTGCACGGTGTCTTTGATCTTCCGGCAGCACTGGGACATCACCAGGGAGAGGGTGGCTGACAGAGGGGTCCCCTGGAGGGCTGCAGGGAAACACTGGCAGTGAATCAGGACACAGAGGAGCACATCTGGCCCCTGCTACCTCTCTTCTCCACACCAGCCCAGAGGCCCAGGAGGGAGCCCTGAACTCCAGGGTGAAAGACCCTGGCTTCTGTTCCAGGTACTGCCACTTTTTAACTGCATGCCTTGGAACTGCTCAAGCAGGGCGAGTGGATTCATCTCTCGGTTCATTTCCTCACCTGTAAAATGGGTGACAGTACCGGCCCTGTCCTTTGCTGTGAATTGTAGCTGATTCGGCACTTCCTACGGGAAAGTACTTTATTTCAGCTCATTTAATCCTCCCCACTGTGCCCTGCAGTGGACACTGTTAGTACCCTGTCCTGTAGCTGGGGGAGCTGGGGCGGTAGCTTGCTGAGTGACAGCAATGACAGAGCTAAAGCACATGTTCCTCACCACCACACCGGATGGCTCTTTACTGTCTTGAGTGAGACACCACGTGTGAGAAGGCTTTGGGCCATAAGGCGCTGTCCCCAGGTTAATGCCTCTTACCAACCCAGAGGATACTGCCAGGGAAGTTCAGGGATGTTTCTGGCTCAGGACTCCAAGCCTGTGCGGTTCCCACCCCCATGGCTGGGCCAGAACCAGACACACCGCCAAGAGCACATGGGACTTGGAAGAGAGGAGGACAGACAGAACATCTGCCCCTTTCTCCAGCCCAGCATCTAGGTGCCTTCTTTAGATGGCAACGCCTTGGTTCAGGGAAAGAAACATGACCCAGGAGAGCCAGGGAGCGTCTCGGCTCCAAGACCAGAAGCCCTGGAAGAGAGATGCATTCTACCAAGTCACTGAACACAGAATGGGAACTGGAGCTGCTGGAGCACCGTGACCTCCTGGGGGGGGGGGGGGGGCGGGGGCGGGGGGGCACTGCTCTGAGAATGAAGACAGTGTAGACTGAGGGGATCCCATGAGCACCTGGATCCAGCCGGGCCTGGACATTTCAGTTACCTGAGTCCATGAATCCAGTGTTCCCCACCCCCGCCTGTTCATTTAACCTGGTCTGAGCTGGGTTGCTGGCACCTGTAACTGAATGCCTCTGACAAATAACGACCGGAGGCCCCCCACCTACACAGGGAGACGGGGCAGGACCACATTCCACTCTGACACTGCCACCCACCCAAACCCCAGCTTGCCACTCATCTCTCACATTCTGCTCCATCCAGGTCACAGAGGACCACACTGTACAGTCCCTGGCCACATTCCCTTTAGGACAAAGCAACAGCTCTCAGGAAACCAAAGCTCCCCATCCTTTCTTTAAAGTAAGCTCCAGGCCCAACATGGGGCTTGAACTCACAACCCCAAGATTGAAAGTCACATGCTCCATTGGCTGAGCCAGCCAGGCACCCCAAAACCAAAGCCTTTTAACCTGAAACCCCCAAATCTTCTCTGCCCAAGGACGCGCCTGAAACCATTAGCGCTGACAAACCCCCATCTGAGAAAACGTGGTCTCCCTGTAAACACCCTGCAGCAGGCCACCACCACCTGTTAACCAACGGCACAGCATAAGAGCGTTTCAGACCCAGTCTACCACATGGTTAACCTGCCATCGGAAGCAAGGACCCAGGCCTGGGCATTTACTACAGCATGGCACAACCACACGATGCAATGGTAAGCAACCAGTGCAAGAATGAGGCAGAATTCTACGTAGTGAGACAGAACACTCTCGGAGACAAACTGGAGGGGGGAAAAGGTGCAGGAAAGCACACGCTTGAGGCTACCCTTTGTGTTTAAAAAAAGGGAGGGGATAGACACACATGCCACCTGTGTGTGCACACAGATGCTGTCTGGGAGGCGTGCTGGGGAAGTTGGGGGCAGGGGTGACTCGGGGGGTGGGCTGGCGCACAGGGACTGGCAAGCAGGGCTGAAGGGGAGACTCACTTTCCCTGTAAGCTCTTTTGACTTTGAAGTCTTTCCTATGTGCATGCTTTCTTTAAAAAAAAAACATTAAAAGGAAACAAACTCTACTCTGCAGATTTGTTTTTCACAGAGGTACGAAGTGTAGCAATTCCGAAAATACTCTCTATGTACCGTAGAAATCAAGCAGATGGGAGATGTATTGTCGGTGTTTGGAGTCACCATACGCACTGTTGCAGAAAAGAGATATAGCTATGGATTGGGGAGGTCTAGGAAGAACTCTGTGATACAGGATTGAAAGTGGGGTATCTGTAAACTCATGGCCTGCAACATGCAGAGACAGATCTGTCTGCTAAAAAAACAGAAACAACGACACCTCAGTAACAACCCAGACCTTGGTTTCCAAATACCATTTTCCACCCAAAGAACATCTCCTTGCAGAAATTACTTACTCCAGGGATTATCTTAATGTGCCAGAAAGCTAGGAAGTGCTAAATAATAATAGTAATAAATAAAAAGGCTGGGCTAGGGTGCCTGGGTGGCTCAATTGGTTAAGTGACTGCCTTCGGCTCAGGTCATGATCCTGGAGTCCCAGGATCGAGTCCCACATCGGGCTCCCTGCTCAGTGGGGAGTCTGCTTCTCCCTCTGACCCGACCCCCTCTTGTGTTCTCTCTCACTCTCTCTCTCAAATAAAATAACATCTTTAAAAAAAAAAAAAAAAGGATGGGTCATGTGAAAAGGACACAGGAGGATAAAGAACAAAAAGAAGAGTGCAACACCGAATATCCACATGTAAAAGAACGAAGTTGGATCTTACACCATATCTAAAAATTAACTCAAAACGGATCAAAGACCTAACTGTAAGAGCCAAAACTATAAACTCTTAGAAAACGCAGAGGTGTAATCTTTGTGGCCTTGGGCTAGGCAATGGTTTCTTAGATAAGACAACAAAGGCATAAGCAGCCCAAGAAAAAATAAACTGGACTTAATCAATATTAAAAACTTTTATGCTTCAAAGGATACTATCAAAATAGTGAAAAGACTGGGTGCCTGGGTGGCTCAGTCAGTTAAGCGACTGCCTTCGGCTCAGGTCATGATCCCAGGGTCCTGGTATCAAGTCCCACATCAGGCTCCCTGCTCAGCGGGGAGCCTGCTTCTCCCTCTCCCTCTGTCTGCCACTCCCCCTGCTTGTGCTCTCTCTCTCTCTCTGACAAATAAATAAATAAAATATAAAAAAAAAAGTGAAAAGACAACCCATATGATAGAATATCCAGTGTGGATCTAGTATTAAAGAGTACATAAAGAACTTGTACAACTCAACAATAAAAAGAGAAACAACCCAATTAAAAAATGGAAAGCAATTTAAGTAGACAGTTCTTCGATGAAGATAAACAAATGATCAACAAGCTCACTCATGAAAAGATGCTCAGCATCATTAGTCACTAGGGAAATGCAGAGCAAAACCACAGTAAGATAGCCTTTCATACCCACTAGGATGGCCATAATCAAAAAGACAGATAAAAACAAGCCTTGGTGAGGATACAGAGAAATTGGAACCCTCATGCATTGCTGGTGGGAATGAGTAAATTATTGCAACTACATTTGGAAAACAGTTTGCCTGTTCCTCAAAAAGTTAACAGAGTTACCATATGACCCAGGACAGAAAAGAATCAAATACTGATTCATGCTACAACAGGTATGAACCTTGAAAACATGCTCAGTGAAAGAAGCCAGACACAAAAGGCTGCACATTGTAAGACTGCATTTATATGAAGTATCCAGAACAGGTAATCCACAGAGAAAGTAGGTAAGTGGTTGCAGGGTCTGAAAGAGGGGGTGAAACGGTGTGACTGTTAGTGGGGAGCATTTGTTTTTGGGGTGATGAAAATGTTCTGAAATTATACAGTAGTAATAATGGTACAACTCTGTAAATATACTAAAAATAAACTAAAAAACTGTACACTTTAAAAAGGTGAATTTTAATGTGAATTATAGCTCAATTAAAAAAAAAAAGGACATAGGAATCAGGGGTGACCTCTGGTCAAATCTAAGACAATTCAAGCATCAAAATAAATAATAACAGTAACGGATTTTAACCCAACGAATAAAATAAGAATCTATGAGGCATGAGCTGGTAATAAATAAGGGGAAAAGGAAAGCTGAATGCCAACAACTACAGTTGACCCTTGAACAACATGGGGGTTAAGGGTACCACCCCGTGCACAGTCAAAAATCTGTGTATAACTTTTGACTCCCCCAAAACACAACTACTGATAGCCTATTGGTGACAGGAAGCCTTACCAGTAACAAACACAGTCAAATGACACATATTTGGTATGTCACCTGTGTTATATACTGTATTCTTAAAATAAAGCTAAAAAAAAGAGAAAATGTCATTGAGAAAGTCATAAAAAAAAGAAAATGCATTTACATTACTGTATTTACTGAAAAACAAATCTGCATGTAAGTGGACCCGCACAGTTCAAACCTGTGTTGTTCAAGGGCCAACTGTACGTAAGGAATGAGAGAGCAGGAAAAGTCACCCGTGTTGCTTTATAATAACTGAATCAGGCAAGAATCACCCCTGGGCCAGTGAGCTCAAATACAATAAAGTGCAGGCCATTTGTAGAGGCTCAAAGCATCTCCCCTAAAATTTCTTACTAATTAACTATAAAGAAATATTAACTTTACACGGGGGGAACCTGGCTGACACCGTCTTAACCAAGTGATCACAGTTCACACTGCCAATCAGGGAACGAGCTGACACCCTGTACCTCCTGATGTGACTGACGCCCTGAGAACCAGATCACTTCCAAAGTATTGTGCTGCCCAAGATGCAACATCTGGGCGAGGAGGAGAAAACAGCAGGCAAGCCTAAACCAAGAGATATTCTGCAAAATCATTAGCCTTACTGCTTCGAAATCGTGAATGTCATGAAAGACAAGCAAGTGGGAGAAATGTCCCCAGCAAAAACCAAAGATGAGGGGCGCCTGGGTGGCTCAGTCGTTAAGCGTCTGCCTTCTGCTCAGGTCATGATCCTGGGGTCCTGGGATTGAGCCCCGCATCGTGCTCCCTACTGGGCGGGAAACCTGCTTCTCCCTCTCCCACTCCCCCTGCTTGTGTTCCTTCTCTCGCTGTCTCTGTCAAATAAATAAAATCTTAAAAAAAAAAAACCCAAAGATGAGACATGAGAAACCACATGCAGTGCCTGATCTTGGATTGGATCCTAGAATGGAGACTAAAATTAAAATGTTTTCTGAAAATTATTGGACAGTGACAAAACTGAAGTATGAGCTATATTCATTAATAATACTGTATTAATGTTGAACTTCTTGATTTAATAATTACGCTGTATTTACATAAAAGAATGCCCTTGACCTTAGGAAATACACACTGAAAGTTTAGGGGCAAAGTGTTACGATAGCTGCAACTGACTTTCAAATGGTTAAAAAGTAAGAGTAGGCAAAAGAAGCGATAAAGCCAGCATGGCACTGTATCAGCAGTTGGTGTTTTCTGTAAATTTGAAACGATCTCAAAATGTCTTAAAAATTCAAAGTAGAAAAGCAAATGGAAAACAGAATATAAAATGAAAATCTAGGAACACTACATCAAAAACTAATGATGTAATGTATGGCCATTAACATAACAATAAAATTTTTTAAATAAATAAAATGAAAATCTAAGTGAAAATAATCTCAGGTAAACTAATAATTTCTGTTGGGCTTTCTGAAATAGCTTGGAATGACTTCCATGACCCCACCCGAAGGAGGCCTAGGCATCCACGGACTGATGTCCAAACCATCATCCTTCTAGAAGCCTGTCACCAAGCGGCCTTGGGGAGCTCCCAGGCCCCCGGGGAGGCAGGGTTGGGGCTCTGGGGGTGGGGGGGACACACGCACCTGCGCTGGCCAGCTCAGCCCTCAGCTGGCCCACGTAGTGCAGCAGCTCCTCCAGGCTCTGCTCGCAGTGCTGCCCGTAGGTCAGGAACTTCTGCAGGACCCTGTCCACCTCCCTCTCCACACTCGCACACTGCTCCATGGTGGCCTCTGCCTGTGGGCGGGAGGGGTCGGCTGCGGCAGGCCCCACCTGGGCTGGGGGGCTCGCCACGGAGGGTCCCCAGGTCCCCCTCACCACACCCATGTCATTTATCCTCGCGCAGAAATTCCCGGCTTAACATACGTGTCCACAGCGCCTGTCACCCCGAGCCAGGGTGCCCCGGAGGTTCTAGGCGGGCGTGAGGACAGGTGTTTTGAGTCATGGTGACCAAATTACCATTTCCAACTCTTTTCATTCTTTTGAATCAGGGGAGAGAGCAGGCCTCACAGAGTCCTCAGCAGGCAATGCTATCTACTAGAAATATATACAAATACCACCTATTTTCATATTGCATGTATGTTTATATACTCATCATAAGCACCTTCTCTTCAATTAGTGGACTTGGTTTTCCACAGACTACAGTGATAGAAGCCATGAAGGCAGCCCTTGAATGGCTGATAACTGAAAACCCAGCCTAAGGAACAACTGCCAAGCACGTAGGCCTGATGGGCTTTGCCCACCACTCCAGCCTCAGTCTCCCCTGCTGCTCACCCTGTGTCCAGCCAGCCAGAACCGCTGCTCCCTCCCAGCTCCGGGCCCGGGTTCATGCTGCTTCCTCCCCCAGATAGGTTGTTAGCCCTCCCCTCATCAACTGCTTGAGAAGCTGGCTCATCCTTTCCAGGTCGGCTCAGAGACCACCTCCTCCAGCAGCCATCCCCTTCTCCCTGCTGCCGCCTGGCTCCCTCAGCTCCTGCGTGGCACCCTTCTGTTTCAGTTTTGATCACCAGGTAAGGACCTATTTCAGGGCCCACCTCCCCCCCATCAGACTAGAACATCTCCTGTCGATGTAACACACCCCTCCCTCCTCATTATACCACTAAAAGAAAGCTGACTTTCTGGGGCGCCTGGGTGGCTCAGTTGGTTAAGCGACTGCCTTCAGCTCAGGTCATGATCCCAGGGTCCTGGGATCGAGTCCCGCATCGGGCTCCCTGCTCTGCGGGGAGCCTGCTTCTCCCTCTCCCACTCCCCCTGCTTGTGTTTCCTCTCTCGCTGTGTCTCTCTCTGTCAAGTAAATAAATAAAATCTTTAAAAAAAAAAAAAAAAAGAAAGCTGACTTTTCTGGTCCCACCAGCGAGGTGCCCTTCCTAAGTCCCTTCCACTCTGGGCCACTGCCCCCCTCTATTCCAGAGCAGCCTTTGACGCTGACCATGTGAACAGCCCTCAAAATGCTGGCGACAGACTTTCCTCCCTATCCTTCTGTCTAAAGGATTTGAAATGAAGGGCTCTCTCAAATGTTCGAATCTGGCCAGCTGTCCATTCTCTCAAAGAAGGGTACAGAGTAATATCACAAGAATCCTACGGCCAAGGTGACCACTGGGATGCTCCCCGTTTCACGAGACTCCCCATTCTCCCCGGCACTGCCAGTCCTGGCCTCATCCTCCTGGCCCAGCCCGTAACTACTGTCTCCTTATAGTGGATGAGTGGTGGGGAAATGGCAACCAGGGCCTGAGATGTGTTTTTGCCCTCTCTCCTTACGGTTGATGCCTTCACACTAGAATTTGTAATCATAATCATGATGTCCGGAAGACATGCCTTCCTCTTTGTGCCGCCTAAGCAAACACCCTATAACTGAATATGATCCATCATGAGCAAAATATACCAGTGACTCCTGTCTGAAACAATATCATAATCATAATTATTACTGCTATTATTAGTTATCATTTCATTGGGGCTTATTATGTGTCAAGCACCATTCTAACGATGTTGCATGCATCAACTAATTTATTTAATTCTTACCAAAACACTATAAGGTAGGTACAGTTATTAGACCCACTTTACAGATAAGAGAATGAGACACAGGAAGATTAAATAAGTTGCCCAAGGTCACGCGGCTGAGAAAGGGAGGACCTGGGAAGTGGAGCCAGAAACCCCTTCTCGGAAGCACTTCGCATCACATTACTCTCTGGACCAGCTTAACAGCCCACTATCTCACCAGGAAGGGAAAGTGGCCAAGATGTGTGGTTGGAATAAGTGTATAGCAACGATTAATGATGACAAGAAACGGGAAATTAACCACAGAGGCTGTGAGACGGTCACCTAGGAAAGATGGCAGCACAAGAGAAATGTTTGCCAAGAGTCTGGGAACCAGAATCACAATTTACCAAATATAAATACAGCTCAAGAAAGGTGAGGACTGGGGCGCCTGGGTGGCTCAGTCGGTTAAGCGTCTGCCTTCGGCTCAGGTCATGGTCCCAGGTTCCTGGGATCAAGTCCCGCATCGGGCTCAGTAGGGAGCCTGCTTCTCCCTCTGCCTGCCGCTCCCCCTGCTTGTGCTCTCTGCCTCTGTCAAATAAATAAATAAAATTTAAAAGGTCAGGACCTCACCACGGTCAAACAGACTAGCCCTGCGGACACCATCTGATGAAAGGATTATCTCAGGGAAGCCCAAGTCAGCATCTTGAAATTGTATTAAAGAGCTGAGGAAGGGGGCGCCTGGGTAGCTCAGTGGGTTAAGCATCTGCCTTCGGCTCAGGGCATGATCTCAGGGTCCTGGGATCCAGCCACGTTGGGTTCCCTGCTCAGCGGGGAATCTGCTTGTCCCTCTCCCTCCGCTCCTCCCACTCATGCTTGCTTGCTTGCTTGCTCTCTCTCAAATAAATACAATCTTTAAAAAAAAAAAAAAAAAAAAGCTGAGGAAGGAGATGCATAAGGATTTTCATCCCAGCACTCTGTATTGTGGTAGGAAGGGGCAGACGATCTAGGAGCCTCAGCACTGGGGGAACTGATAAGTCAAGTAAGTAAAACGTGGGAGAGGCATCTATGGAAACCTGCATAGCACTTAGAAACCATGTTCTAGATATACTCACAGGAGCATCGATAACATCCCCAAACATGGTACTGAGGGGGAAATAAAGAAGCAAAATGAACTCTAGGCAGAATACCATTTATGTAAATTAAAAATGTATACATGCAGGGGCACCTGCCTGGCTCAGTCAGTACAGCACGCGACTCTTGTTCTCAGGATTGTGAGTTCAAGCCCCATGTTGGGCGTGGAGCCTACTTAAAAAAGAAAGAAAAAAAAAGAAAATAGGGGTGTCTGGGGGGCTCAGTTGGTTGAGCGTCGGATTCTTGATTTTGGCTCAGGTCATGTGCTCAGGGTCACTCTCAGAGCGGAGTCTGCTTGAGATTCTCTCTCCCTCTCCCGCTCCCCACCTCGTGCATGTGCACATAGGAGGTCTCTCTCTCAATAAAAATTAAATTTAAAAAATCTTAATAAGGGGTGCCTGGGTGGCTCAGTCATTAGGCGTCTGCCTTCGGCTCAGGTAATGATCTCAGGGTCCTGGGATCGAGCCCCGCATCGGGCTCCCTGCTCAGCAGGAAGCCTGCTTCTCCCTCTCCTTCTCCCCCTGCTTGTGTTCCCTCTCTCGGTGTCTCTCTCTGTCAAATAAATAAATAAAATCTTAAAAAAAAAAAATCTTAAGAATAAATAAAGTGTGGGGCGCCTGGGTGGCTCAGTCGTTAAGCGTCTGCCTTCGACTCAGGTCATGATCCCAGTCCTGGGATCAAGCCCCACATCAGGCTCCCTGCTCCGCGGGGAGGCCTGCTTCTCCCTCTCCCCTCGCTTGTGTTCCCTCTCTCTCGCTGTCTCTCTCTCTAATAAATAAATAAAAAATATTAAAAAAGAATAAAGTGTGTCTTTTTAAAAATTTTTTAAAAGATTTTATTTGTGAGACTGAGCACGAGACAGAGAGAGAGCAAGCAAGCAAGCACAGGACGGGGGTGGGGTGTCAGAGGGAGAGGGAGAAGCAGACTCTCCACTGAGGAGGGAGCCTGACGTGGGGCTCAATCCCAGGACCCTGTGATCATGACCTGAGTTGAAGGCAGATGCTTTTTTTTTTTTTTAAAGATTTTATTTATTTAATTGACAGAGAGAGAGAGAGAGAGACAGACAGTGAGAGAGGGAACACAAGTGGGGGGAGTGGGAGAGGGAGAAGCAGGCTTCCCGCCGAGCAGGGAGCCTGATGCAGGGCTCGATCCCACGACCCTGGGATCATGACCTGAGCTGAAGGCAGTCGCTTAACCAACTGAGCCACCCAGGCGCCCCTGAAGGCAGATGCTTAACTGACTGAGCCACCCAGGTGCCTCTAGAGTGTGTCTTTTTTTTTTTTTTTTTTTAAGATTTTATCTATTCATTTGAGAGAGAGCATGAGGGAGGATCAGAGGGAGAAGCAGACTCCCCACTGAGCAGAGATTCCCGCCGCGGGACTTGATCCCAGGACCCCAGGACCACGACCCAAGCGGAAGGCAGCTGCCTAACCAACGGAGCCAGCCAGGTGCCCTAGAGTGTGTCTTTAAAGAAAAAAATCTATGCATACAACCAAAGACACATGCAAACACATCAGAATGGTTTCCTACGGTGGGTGGGGGAGGAGGAATGGGGATAAAAGGGAATACATCAATAAATACAAAAGAGATGAAGGCCCTGCCTGAACCAATTAAATGTATAATGAACTGAGAAGTCTGATTAACTCAATAAAAAAATCTAAAATGAATTAAAGAAGCTGGGGAAAGTAAGAAAAAGAAGCTGGGGAAACAGAATGGCTTGCCTGTATCCCACCCAGAAAGTCCAGGAGGCTAACTCAGTCTGTCCCTGGTGAGCCACTCTGCCTGAACCCCACTCGGTCATCTGGCACTGGGGTGGATGAGTACGTGCATTTGTCTTTCACAACTTCATAATGAATCCAGTGGAATTTCATGTCCATTTCAAGCCCTCCTCCCCAAGGTCTCACCTGTACAGAAATGATGCACCAGGTGATCTTCAAAACAACACGTCAAATCCTGTCACCCCTTGACTCAACACTGCATGGCCTGACACACAAGCCCTGTGTAATTACACATTCGCTTCCTTTGCACAAGCTGTTCCTGTGTCCAGAATGCCCTCTGCACTTCTCTGCAGAGGCCCCAAGATGCAGTTTAATCACCAGCTCCCCGAAAAGCCCTCAGTGAAATCCCCCAGTCTCCTCTGCTTCATACACCTCTGTAGAGGACACCCATACCGCACACCTCTGAGTCCTCAGCTCTGTGGCACAGTAACTGCCTGTCTACAGGTCTCCCTGCACTACAGTGAGCTGCTCAGGCCTGGAGGCCAGTCTTGTCCTCTTTCTCCCCGCAGTGCCCAGCCCAGGGCCTGGTCCACAGTGACTGTTCAGTGAATGGTTGCTGATTAAATGGTGCATCCACATCCTAACTCTTGGGCTAGGGTGCCTGGGCTCAAACCTGCAGGGGGGTTGACAGGAAGAGTTACGACTGAAGTATTAAAATCCCCACTAAGGCATGCATGGGTTTTGTCCCCAGACTTCAGCATCATGAAACAGAAGGGACCCTTCTGGGGCGAAAGGAAAGAAGTTTGTGCAAATCATAGAAATGTCCTCTTTGCCTGACACAGAACTGGGCAGCCTCCATTTACCAACTCTTACACTTCTGCACCCCTCAACTCTATCCATTCTCCACCCTACCCACCACTCCTCTGCTTAAAACCCAATAGATTCCTATTGTATTCAGAATAACCCCCCTTCCTTTATTTATTTATTGTTAGTAATCTCCACACCCAATGTGGGGCTGGAATTCACCATCCAGAGATCAAGAGTCGCATGCTCCTCTGACTGAGCCCGCCTGCCGCCCCCCCACCCTCCTTTTTATGGCCTAGGAATCTCTATATGAGTTGACTCCCAACCACCCCTCCAGCCTCATCTACCACTCTCCCCCCTTACTGGCTATACTACAACCACACTAGCCTCCTTCCTGTCCTTGACAAGAGTTTATTTCTGTCTCAGGGCCTTTGCACTAGCTGTTCCCTCTGCCTGATACAACTCTTCCTCAAAATGTTCCCATGACATGCTCCTTATCAGGGTCCTGTGTCCACGTCACCTCTTCAGAGATGTTCTCCTACCCGTATCTAATGCTGACCCCTCTGCTCCACACCCACGCCAGACACTCCATCTTATCACTCTGTTCCTTTTCTTCACTGCACATCTCTATTTAAAGTTTCAAATCTTTTTTTTTTTTTTTGTCATTAACGGAAACTAGAGGGAGGGCAAAGCTCACCATCTCCCCTAGGCTACAGCTCCTACTAGAAGCTTCACCTGTGTTAACGCGCAAAATAACTAGCAAACTCCCACTCATCCTTCCAAAGACCCTCCCTGCTCGAATGCCCCGTCTGGCCCCCTCGTCCACACCGGGTTACCTCCGACCCGACCGGGTCGCACCGGGACCGGACGTCTCAGTTCGCGCGACTCCCCTGGCAGAGGCGGCTCCTCGAGGGTCCTACGAGTCCGTGGGACTCCAGCTCCCGGCCCGGGCCCGACGACTGAACGGAAAGCCAGCGCAGGGGCAGGCTGGGGCCGCGGTTTGTCGGGGCTCCGGAGAAGGCCTGGGGCCTGGGAGCCCGGCCGAGCTGCCGTCTGCCTCGCCCCCGTCGGCCCGTCCGGCGTACCTCGCCCTCCGCCCGCACCTCCCGGCCCGGAAGCCAGCCGGCTCTCACCTTGTCCCCGCAGCCGGGGCCCTGGCTTCCGGCGCCTCTGTCATCGGAACCGGAAGCCGCGGCGGTTGCGCGGCGGATCTGGACCCGCCCACTCGCGGCTTCGCGGAGGGGTGGCCGTCCCGCGGGCCCACGGCTTTCTGCTCGAGCGCCGCGATTCCCCCTCCCGCGAGCCTGGAGTGGAGTCGCCTGCAGGAGCTGGGTTGCCGCTGGAAGCCGGGCTTCCCGCCGCTCGGCTTTCGCCTCCGGGATTTCCCCGAGTGCCCACAGCCGCAGGGGGAGCCGCGACCCTCCCTCTCGGCGGGAAGGAATCGGACCGACCCACTTGCGGGCCGGTGGGGGTGCGCGGGCCTGGGGGGCCGGGCTTCCCCTTCCTTCCCGGGGTCCCAGCGCCCCAACTCGGCTCTCGGAAACCCGAACCCCGAAACGACTCTGCCTTCCCGGCGCCCTGCCTTTCGCCCTCCTTCAAAATGAAGACAAACCCGAACAGCACAGTGCATGCCAGGGGTCCAAGAGTTAAGCTTTCCTGCTGTGGCTCCTTGGTGCTCTTTTTAAAAAATATCAAGTGATCTTTAAAAGAAAAGTCCTTTTTTTCTACCCCAGCCTCGCTGGTCCCCTAAGCCTGTACTTGATCTACCCATTAGGTATTCAACCCAGAAGGATTCTGCTTGGGGGTCCCAGCCCCTGTCTTGCCGCCCTCGGTGACCGCCCTCCTTGGGGGGCCGAGGAGAGGGAGAGAGGGGGATTGCACAACCGTCCTAAGGAGGAAGGGTAAAGGTTAAGAAGGAAGAGAAAGGCGGTGACCCCAAACGCAGGCCAGGACTGAATTCACGATCCTCCCAGGCCCCCTTGCTATGCAGGGGAGGGGCAGAGAAGTCCCCCAACCCCCATTTCCTCCGCAGGCCTCAGGGACTTTGACTAGAAACAGTCCAAGAGAAAAGGCTCTATCTCTGTTTCCCTGACTTCCTGCTCCCTTTGGGGATCAGTGTCATTCCAGAGCAACCTCCCCTCCCTCCCCCCACCCCCCTAAACACCTTGCACAATCTTGTTTTCTGTTTAGTGTTTGCACAATCCAGTTTTGTTTTCTTTATAGCATTTGACTCGAAATTGTGTGTTTATTCGTTCATTCTGTCTTCCTGCCCCTAACGCGCGCGCGCACACACACACACACACACACACACCCCTTTTAGGATAAAAGGTCCATTGGGGCCAGGACTTTGTACTCATCACTGCTGTATCCCCAACACCATGTACTTGGAACACAGTAAGTGCTCAAAAATACTCCCAGGTAGCCAATATGCTCTACTTATGAATGAGGGAACCGGCAGCTCCAAAACCATATGACACATACAGGGAAGAGGGCGGTCCGCGGCCCCACGGGGAGCCCGCGGGCGCGTCCTCGGAGCATCCCAGAGAGGCCTGTCTGTGCGCCTCGAGCCTGGGTGGTCCTGGCCCACGCGGGGGCCGCGGGGGCGGAGAGTTGAGTGAACCCTTCCTGGGGCCACCGGCTAGGCTGAAGCCGCCTCCAAGCCGGCAGGACCTCACAGACCTGCCCAAACGCCCTAGGCTTCCTCACTTCCTCTGGGGGAGCCCTTGCCTGCCTCACAGCCCAGGTGGGCGTGAGCAAAGCCTGGCTTCTCCAAGGACTTTGAATGTCCCGCCCGCGCGCACGCGCATTACACACGCACACGCACACACCCATACCAGGCCATTCCACCTCTATCTGTCATTGTCGTCCACCCCAAAGGTGGCTCTCCTTGCACGGCAGCTTTGTTACTTCTCAGCGTGCACCGTTTTATTACATAGATGATTTTGCCAATCTTTGCTCGGTGGGACTGTGGCTTTTGTTTTGTGTTGAGGGGTGGGGCTGCTTCGAAGCAGAAAAACTTAGCTGGTCTCCACTAACGCAGTAATAGTCCCTTTAATCTTTCGCTAGTTTCCTAGGATTTGATTTTTTTTTTTTTAATTTAACTCCTCAATACATGTCCATTTTATTTTGCAGGGCATAGTGCAAAGTATGTCTTATTTTTTCCCCCCAATTTTTGTCCAGTTATCCCAGTACCTCTTACTAAATAATCCTACCTTTTTCCTCTCATTTGGAAGCCTTTTATCCTAACGTTAAGATTTTCTACAGAATGGAATCTATTTCTGGCTCTTCATTCTTTCCATTGAGGTGTAGTATTATTGTTTTACTTGCTACTTTGTAATATGTTCTAATGTGTGGGGGGATTATACACTGCTCACAAAAAGGAAAAAAAAAGGAAAGGAAGGGTATTAAGAAAGCAGATCACTGGTTGTTGGGGAATGGGGGGAGGGCTGACTGAGACACAGGGGAATTTGGGGGGCATGATGGAGCTATTCTGTATCTTGATTGTAGTGTTGGTTATGCAACTTTCTGCGTTTGTCAAAGTTCTAAAAACTGTACTCTACAAAGGAAGCATTTTCCTGTATGTAAATTATACCTTAAAAAAATGCTGGGGGGGGGACCAGGTACACAAAGAACACACTAGATTAAAAAAAAAAAGAAAAAAGTTTCGTGGCAGACAAGACAAGCGTTCTGAAAATACAGCCTTCCTTGCTTCTCTGAGTTGAGCCCTGGAAGGCCAGGCTAGGAAAAGATGGACCCTCCCCTGATAGCTGGTTGGGGTTAGGGCAACAGCAGGTGAGGCAGACACTGCCTACCCTTTGTGGAACCTGGGAGCATCGGGCCTCAGCCCATGGAGCTCAGGTTGCCTACTCAGGCCTCTTCCTTCCACCCTCCAGGTGGCACCCAACCAGTCTCCTGCTCCTTCTCTCTGTTTCTGCCCCTCCTTGTAAGGCCTTGGTTTAGGCCAGGAGCAGCTACATCATTTGCAGGCTCTGGAGCAAAATGGAAATGTGAGGCCCCTTGCTCAAGCATCATTAAGAAGTTCAAGATGGCAACAGCAGATGGGGCACGTGGGTGGCTCAGTTGGTTAAGTGTCTGCCTTCAGCACAGGTCATGATTTCCGGGGTCCTGGGATGGAGCCCCGTGTTGGGCTTCCTGCTCAGCAGGGACTCTGCTTCTCTCTCTCTCTCTAATAAATAAATAAAATCTTTAAAAAAAAAATGGCAACAGCAGCGCCTCGCAGTTAGTGTTGGGCCCTTCTGAGTGTGGTCCTGAGTGACCACACAGGTCACACACACGTAAAGCTAGTCCTGGTTCTGGCCCTCCCCTTTGACTGCCTGAGGGACCCACTCACAGCCTGAAGTCCTCCTGTGCCAACTTACCAGTCTGTCTAGGGGCTGCCTTGCCTCCCCTCAAGTCCTTCTAGACAGGACCCTCCCTCCAAAATGCCCCACACCTCCCTGTGTTCAGTTCCAGGCCGATCCTGGATGCCCTCATCCCACCCTGCTCCTGAGGAAATCCCCCCAATTTCCCTTTCTCAGAGAAGTTTATCCCTGTTAAGGAAAAAAGTACTCATGGCACTTGTCAAAGAGTGGTAATGAAGACTTTATTCAAGAGGGGATACTGCAATGGGGGTTTTGTAGTAGGGGAGAGAGAGTGGGCTCAACTCCAAATACAACAAGGAAAAGTAGAATTGATGGCCAAGGAGCAGGTGTGGGGGATCAGTAGATGAAAAATTACTAAGAGGACACCTCCAGGGCGGGGCGGGGGGGGGGGGGGGACGGCCAGGAGGTAGCCTGGCTAACTGTACCTCACAGGAGTCTTGCTGAAGGCAGGCCAGCTGTCACCTGGGGGATGGTGGAAGATGAAGAACCAGATTACATATGGAGGGGAGTCAGATATGGAAGATGGGGATTCTGGCTAAACTAACTTAGCAAGAATCTTGCTAGAACTGGACTGTAAAGGAGGGCTACCTTCCAAGGTCAGGAGCAAAGAGAGGTTACAAGTGCTTGACCCAAGTCTGGTCCATCTTTGTCACACACACCGCCCCCCCCAAGGCACACCCCTCATCACCTGTAGTGAAAAGTGAAACAACTTTCCTCCGAGTCCCACTGTACTCATGCCCCACCTCTCATGACCTATTTCACTCTTGTTTTGTTGCAAGAAATAGCACATTCTTCTTTTCTGAATCCAATATAGAGGACTAAGCCCCACCTACTCGGGTGGTGAGTTAGTCTGAATTGTCACTGTGGGGCATGCACAGTCTTTGAAGAAAGGCTCCCTAATACCTATACCCCCCCCACCCCGGTCTCAGAGAAATGTACTTTTCCATGCTCTGCTGACCTGCCACCGTGGAGGCCCTCCGTTGTTCCCGTGTATGTATATGTTTGCGTTCTTCTGGTCTGGTCACTACCATGGACGTATGTGTGTGGCTGTCTCCCTCCCCCCACAGGGAAGGGTCATGCGGGCAGAGAGGCCTTGGCCACTATGGCTTCCTCATCTGAGATCCAGGTCTGGCCCTGAGGGAGGCATGTCGTACCTCACTGGGCAGGAAATGGTGACCAGCTCTGCAGCTCCAGTGCTTGGCCCAGGTGTCCATGAATGATGAATGAACACCCAGAGCTGGAGACTTCCCCACCCACGCCACTCCACCCCCAGCTCGAACCCATGCCAGTCAGGGAGAGGTCTGGTCCCTCTTGACTCCAAAGCCCCCGCCCCCACCCCAGTGCCTTCTGGGCTGGAGCCAGAGCAGGCTCTGGGGGTAAAAACAGAACAGACAGCCCTGCCTGGCAATGCCTACAGCCCCGTGGAGAGACACCGACAATGTCAGCAAATATACGGGTCTGTGGACATGAAGCAGGGGGGGTGGGGAGAGGAATGCCCAGGCAGGGCAGGGCAGGGCAGGGCAGGAGTTCAAGGAAGGCTTTCTCGAGGAAGTAAGATCTGTGAGGAGGCTCTACCTGGAGGACGAGGGCCTGCGAGGGCCTGCGAAGGCCTGCTGGGGTCAGAAAGGGCGCCATTATCTGGAAGTCAGGCTGTCAGATGCTTTGAGTGATAGACTAAGGGGGCCCAGGGAGACACTGGAAGATGTGACACTCTGAACTGTGAACAGGAGAGATCAGAGGCACAGAGCCCAGCTCGGGGAGCTTGCCTCAGTTCTGGAAATTGGCTATCTGGGCCTAGTCTGCTGGGGGAAGGGGCCTCTGGGCAGCTGAGGGGCAGGCCCACAGGGCGCAGGAGGGAGGGGCTGCTCCAGAGCAGGGGCCGCGGCCGTGGCACCTGTGATCAGCTGGTCCCAGAGCCACCCAGCCGGCTTGGGGACCCGGGAACTGGTTTGCCCGGCAGGGATCTGGTTCCCTCGGAGCCACCCCAGCTTCAGTTCTCTCTCGCGCCCTCCCCCTGCATCTGGGTCTGGCCCTGGTTTCTGGCAGAGCTGCCAAGTTTTGGTACCACCCACCCACTCCCCGCTGGCTGTACTGGCCGGCCCAGCTCTCTAATTGCTGGGTGGGGAGCCCTTCTGCAGAGATGGTACACCGGAAGGTGGACCCCAGCCGCGGTGGGGCACGTGGGCACCCAGCCTGACCAGCTCCAGGTTGCAGGGAGGGAGTGACCCAGGCTTTAGGTCACTAGAGGGTCTGGAGGGTCACTGGCCCAGAGACCTTGGTTTGGAGGGATCTGTGAAACAGGTTCCAAGGCCTGTGGGAGACAGGCCTGCTTAACTTGAGTGCTCCCAGTTTCCCTCCCCCAGCAGAGGACCCAGGCTCAGCTACGTGCGGGGGTCTGTCCTAGCCACAGGCTCAACCTAAGCCTGGCCAGAGGCAAAAGGGGCTGGGCTGGGGCTGGTGGGAAGAAATGGAGCAGAAGGAACAGCCAGGAAGCAGCCCTCCCGGCCTCCCAACCCGGGAGCCCCGAACACACCCCCAGACACACCCACCACCCACAAGACAGCTCCACATCCACCTGCCACTTACATGGCCATAAACACACCATACCCACGGCAGACAAGTCACACACCCCATTTTCCACCCTGAAAAGGCGAGGCACATCAGCGCATCCTCCACAGCCCCGTGGGTACCCTAGCACAGCAACTCCACCAGGACCCACCTGCCGGGGCGTGAGGAGTGGCCAGGCATGGCCTGGGAAGGGGGAATCATGGGTGACGGGAGCAAACTGGGGTTTCTGCAGAGAACTTGTCAGAGGTTGCAGCTGCCACATCAGAGCAGGGACTGGGAGGTCTGCGGGCTGGCTCCCCTGCAGCGGGAAGCACCATCTAATTCAACCCCGAGAGCCCACGCACCGAAGGCCTAACAGACGGGAGGTGCTCAATGCCCAGCAGCAGTTACAGTGATGTGCCCATAAGGATGCTGAACTTTACTGCAAGGAGTGGGGATGGGCCACCTGCGTGCCAGACTAGGTCTGTGCTCTGGGCCACCCACCCAGGAGGGAGCAAAAGTCCAGAAGGGAAACTGGACTGCTGAGAGGCTAGGGGTGGGAGTAGGCTGGAGGGGTCGGAGGACCAGCCTGGGCTGAGACCAAGGGTCAGGGAGCCTGGTGTGGGGCTGGAGGTGGAGGGTTGCTTCCTCTCAGCACAGAGCTTTCCAGAATACAAATCAGATCACATCTCACCCCTGCTTAAAAATATCCCTTGGCCTTCCATTGCCTACAGGGAAATGGCCACATTCCCTGCTGCAGTGCAGGCCCTTTACCAAGTAACCAACCCACAAGTTTTCTCTGCCTGTTTCCTGCACCTTCCTGGGGCCTCCCATTCCTGTGGAGGGAGGGGTGTGCCACAGGCGGACGGAAAGATGGGAGGTGCGTTCTGGGAGGGGCAGGGCCCTCCTGGAGCCTTTGGGTGCTCCAGGGGGAAGCTGTATTAGGCCAGCCCCAAACCCAGCAGGGGTCTGGGTACCCAGGGCCCAGAATTCCTACCAAGAGAATGTTTCATGTTCTAGCCATGCCTTGGTTGACTTGCCCTTTTGCTTTTTTCTGGGTTCTCTGGCCTTGTTCCTTCTGCAAAATCCCACTGGTGCTGAAGAAAAGCATTTCAGCCCACACAGCAGCTAAGGAACCGTGTGGTGCCGGGACAAAAGGATTCCTCCACTCCCCAACGCACATGCCCAGCGGCTGCAAACGCGCGCACACACACATGGGCACAGGGCACACCCTCCCACGGACCATGACCATGGAGGCGAGCTACAGCCCAGTCAAAGGGCCCCCGACGCCAACCATCCACAATTCTCTAGACTCAGGCCAGGGACAGGCCCAATGTAGCCCCTGCCGAGGGGGGGAGGGGGGGGGAGGGGAGAGGGGGCTCCTTGTAGAAAATGTGGCTTTATTCTGGGGGAGGCCAGTGTTCCCATCCCAGCCTCCCTTCCTCACGCCTGCCCTTCTGCATCATGGGGCTCTCCATTCCCCAACCTCCTCTGGGCCACCTCTCACTCCCGGGAGCGGGGCGAGGCCCTGCCAAGGGGCTCCTCTGCCTGGAAGCCTTGCCCTGGCTCCTGCCGCTGGCAGCCTATCCAGCCCACGACACCATGGTAGCCCTCCTCGCGGTGGGCCTCCCCACCCCTGGCCGCCTCCACAGCTTCTGCCGCAGACCAGTGTAAGGAAGGAGTCGGCCATCATCTCGGGGTGGGCTTGTCCAGGCCATTTTTCCGGCGGTGCTCCTGCCGCCCGCTCAGCCGCTGGCCTCAGATCTTGGAGGACTCCAGTCGAGGGCTCCAGGGCGCTGGGGGCTCCCGCAGCGCCCGCAGCTCTTGTTCCAGCGCCTGGTTGCGGCGGTACATGTCCAGGTAGCCTCCCTGGATCTCCCGCTGGTAGCGCAGCACCCGTTCCTTCTCCTCCTGCCATGTCCGCCGCTCGCGCTCAAAGCACAGTGCCTGCTCCTGGGCGCGGAGCCGCTCCTGCACCAGCTGGGCCCGCAGCTGCTCGGCGCCCCCTCCGCCCCCTCCGGCCTCGCTGCCGCCCGCCTCGGCCAGCAGCCCCCTGCTCTTGCAGTCGTCCGTCTCACAGCTGCCCGGGCCTTCCTCCCGCAGGCCCGGCTCCCGCAGGCTCCGCACCGCCTGGCGCAGCTGGGCCAGCTCCGCGTCCTGCGCCTGCGCCTGCGCCCGGCTGCCCCGCAGCTGCGTCTTCAGGCTGAAGATCTCCGCCAGCTTCTGCGCCAGCTCCGCCTGGGCCTCCCGCAGCTGCTGCTTCAGGAGGCTGATCTCTGCTGTCTTCTGGCACACCTGGAGGGACACAGGACGGGCGAGAGCGGGTAAGGGCGGGTGGCGGGCGGCAGAGGACCGAAGGTTTATAGGATGCCTGGTCTCTCACCTCCCATCGGGCCTCCTCCTCGGGTCGGGCGCTAGGGTCGGCCTCTGGGAGGGCGCCGGGGGGCCGAGGCTCGGGGCCCAGGTCCTGCTGCGCCCGCAGCTCTTTGCGCAGCCGCCGCTGCTCCTGCTGGGCCACGAAGAGCTGTAGCTGGAGGTTGCGCTCACTGCGCTCTGCCTTCTGAGCCACCTCGTGCAGCCGCTCCACGTACAGGCGCTTCAGCTCAGCCAGCCACAGCCGCTGGCGCTCCTCCAGCACCTACCAAGGGCAAGAGGCGCCTGCCACGCTGGGAAATCCGCACACGGCCCCGCTCCCATAGCTAGACCCCTCCACAACACCCCAGCCGTGGCTGGAGGGGAAGTGTCCCCAACACACGGCCCTCCCAGGAGGTCTCTCCTCCTCCCTTCCACCCAACTCGTCGCTAGCCAGGGCAGCCAGTGACACGACAGCCCCATCACGTGGGGGGTGGGGGACTGGATCACCTCCATCTTCCTTACTCTCTTGTGGCCAGAGCCACCTAGGTGAGCTGGCTGGGGCCCCTCCAGTTTTCCCTTTACCCCAATGCCAAGGGGCAGAATAGGACCCCAAGGTGTGGAGGGGGGCGCCCTCACCTGTGTGAAGGGGCTGGAGCCATCCTCATCACCAAGGCCCCTCTTGAGATCCTCACAGGTGTCGGGCAGCATGGCCACCACCTCCTCCGCAGTGGGGCAGGAGAACTCGTAGGGGGGTGGTGGCTCAGGCAGGCAGCTCAGCATAGCCAGGGGCCCAGCCTCTTTGGGGACCCGTGAGGCCCGGTCCAGGGAGCCCCCCAGGTGGTTAATGTGGCCCAGAGAGGAGCTGAAGGGGCCTGGACCAGTGCCAGGACTGCGGCCGAAGCTGCCCCCGCTGGAGGAGTCAGACAGGCTGGGCTCGGGCTCGGGGCCACCCTCATCCAGGCTGAGGGCATGCAAGAGCTGGGCGCGGGCCTGTGCCTGGCTGGCCCGGGGCCCTGGGCTCAGGGGTGGGTGGCAGGCCAGCGTATGCAGGCTGCCATTGCTGCGCCACAGCTTCTGGCCCTTGTGGGCGGCCAGGCTCTGCATGGACAGGAAGCCTTTCCCAGTGCCCGCCATGGGCTTGAACACCGACGGGCGGATGCGGCACTGCCAGGAAGAAAAAGGGCAGGTTTGAGGCCCCGGGCAGACCTCACCTCTGCCCTCCCAACATCCCCACAGCCCCCCGGGATCCTCTCTGAGACTCTGGGGTGCACATCCCCAGGGGGCGGTGACCTGTGACCAAGCCTCAGGCCGGCCTACAGCAGGAGGTTCATGTCCCAGCCCCATCCGAGGACCCGGGTCTCCGAGGGGACCCCAAGCCGCCCCCATCCCCACCCTCCAACACTATGGAGGGAAGTGGGCAGAGATGCACCTTGTCAAAGCGACCCCGCTCGGGCAGCGAAGTCTTGCTGAAGTCACCAGCCCGAGGATGTTCCTGGTAGTAGAGGGTGGGGTAGTCAGCAGGATCGTTCCGAGGGGCCCTCTTGGTGTTCTTGCCATCCTTCTTGGGGAGGTGCAGGTAGCTGAAGAGCTCACGCTGGCCCAAGCCCTTCCGGAGGAGCCCATCAGGCTGGCGGGAAGTCCGGGACCCCGCAAGTGCTGCCCGTAGCTCTTCGGGGGAGAAGTCCTGCCGTTCCAACAGGCTGCCCACGCTGCCCATGGCAATGCCAGCAGGGCCTGGGGCTGTGGCCATGAAGTTTCAACAGGGCACAGGCAGCTGTTTCTGGGGATTGGGAAGCTCCATCAGGGGCAGGTGGGCACTTGCTGCCCAACTTCCCTGATCCCCTAAAACCAGGTACGTGTTCTCTGTGTCAGCTCCCTACCTGGCCCAGGCCCAGGAGGCAGATATGGGTCTTGGACAGAATCCAGGACAGGATTCCCAGGCTGGCAAGAGAAAGGGGGTAGAGGCTCCCAAGCCACCAGCCTGGTGCCCCAGCTGCAGTTATGGGCCAGTGTGATTGGGGGACATGGGGCAACAGGCCCAAAGCAGTGGGATAGGGCCCCTCCCAGGACTGGGCCAGCTGAGGACTCAGGCTCTGTGTGACTCTGACCTTGTTCGCTCTCCTGCCAGGCTCCTCACCCAAATTGGAGAGGTGGCCTATGGCTCCCCATTCCTTGTCTCTGGGGAGGGGGAAAACCCAGTTCAGCCCCTCTTCCTGCAGTGGGTCAGAGTTCCCCAAGGGAAGCACCTGGCATGGGTGGGGTTGGGGGCTGCAGTGGGAGGGACACAAACAGGAAGGGCCTAGGGGAGGAAGGATGGCGGGAACAATGGCCAGTTTCCGGAACAGGTGTTCACGTAGTCATAGGGGCAGTGGTGGGAGACAGAGGGAAGGGACAGTGGGAGCCCCTGCCACCCCAAAACCCACCACCAGAGGGGGGGGTGTCTCAGATCTTGACCCAGCGTGTGGGAATCACGTGTGGGCCCTAGCTTCCTCGAGCAGTCTTATCACTCAGGGATGCTGGGAGGATGGGCTGAGATAACAGGACAAAGTGTCCAGTTCAGGGCCTGGCCCATAGCCAGGGTCAACACAGGCTGCCTGAAGCTGAGCTCAGCTGCTCAGACATGACCTCCTCCCCGGCAGGGGGCCCAGAAACCAGGTTAGGGACCAGCTCCCACCTGTGCTGAGATCACACCCTGGAGGGTGGGGCCTGGCCCTAGTTCCCCTCCGGATACCCTGTCCAGTCCAGGGCCTGGCACACAGTAGATGCGCAGACAGGACCTGCCGAATGAGCGAATGCCACCTTCTTCTCTGCCTCCGCGCCCCCGCGAGCAACTGCTCCCATTCCCGTACAGACACCCAGCCGGTATGCAGCAGCTGTGCGCCCCCCACCCACCCCAATTTGCTTCCGGGACACCCACTCCCACCTCAAACAATGGTCGTTAGGAGGCTCCATCTTCCTCAACCATTTCCAGGTTTTGTGTTTGTGGAAGACAAAGCTCTCCGGGAGTGGGAGGGATGGGGGGCAGGGCCCTGCTCCCCACCCCCACCCCGTGGCCAGCTAATAGCCTCTGAGGAGGTCACAGGGCACACAGGGTCGGGGGACTCATCCAGTTAAGGAATCATAGGTGCTGGCCAGCTCCAGCGACACAGCCCTGCGTAGGGGTCTGAGTCCCATGATAGAGCTGTTGTCCCTCTTTGAAGGCAAGGGCACTGGGGCTCCCAAAGGTAAAGTGGCTTGCCCAAGGTCACAGAGCTGGTTGGAATGAGATGCCTGTGATCTCAGCAGGATGGCTGTTGAATGTTTGGGGGGACCCCGGATAGCACCCACAGCCCAAAGGGTTAGAACTGAAGTATCCTGCCTCCCAATCTGACACCTCCTTACCGTGACAGGCCTACCCAGTGACAGACACCCATTTGTCTGAGCTCACTCAGCTCTTTTTTTTTTTTTAAAGATTTTATTTATTTATTTGAGAGAGAGAATGAGATAGAGAGAGCATGAGAGGGGGGGAGGGTCAGAGGGAGAAGCAGACTCCCCGCCGAGCAGGGAGCCTGATGCGGGACTCGATCCCGGGACTCCAGGATCATGACCTGAGCCGAAGGCAGTTGCTTAACCAACTGAGCCACCCAGGTGCCCCTGAGCCCACTCAGCTCTTGTCGCTGCTTCTCAGGGAGGTGGACAGCCAAGAACCCGGTCTCCAGCCCTGTCCTCCCACTGTCTCTCCACAGGGACCTGGCCACTATGGCTTCTCCCTTTGCCATGTCTCAGTTGCCCCATCTCTGAAGTGGGTGAGACTGCCTGCCCCGTCTTTCTTTTGGGTTTCCATCACAGAGACAATTGAGGTGAAGGGTCTCAGGAACCAGAAGCCGAGTGCAAGCATGGGGGTGGGGATGGTAGCGGCGGTGCCAAATACGCCCACCGGCCCCCAAACACAGATCCTGACTTCCTGTCTCAGGGAGGGATAAGAGGCACCCTCTGTTCCCCACAAAGGATCTCAGGTCTCTTGAACTAGAGGCAGTCATGGGCCAGAAGAGAACATACCTCCCCCACAAACCGCAGTCCAGTCAGTGAGCAGCACGGTAGTTCCTGTGTTAGAGGACATAGCACGGACGATCACATCGAACAGCACACAGTCACGGACAAGGTCACCCTCACGGCGCTGAGCACCCTCTGGGACACACACATGACATGCGAATGCTCTAGCACTACACTAGCAAGAAGACCCAGTTGTCCTACTCAGCCCCCAGGCTAGATGCAGAGAGGGTGTGTATGTGTGTGTGTGTGTGCACGCGCACGCGCTAGATGCAGAGAGGTGTGTGTGTGCGCTAGATGCAGAGAGGTGTGTGTGTGTGCACGCGCGCTAGATGCAGAGGTGTGTGTGTGTGCGCGCTAGATGCGGAGAGGTGTGTGTGTGTGTGCACGCACGCACTAGATGCAGAGAGGTGTGTGTGTGCACTAGATGCAGAGAGGTGTGTGTGTGTGCGCGCCCTAGATGCGGAGAGGTGTGTGTGTGCGCGTGCTAGATGCAGAGAGGTGTGTGTGTGTGTGCGCGCACTAGATGCAGAGAGGTGTGTGTGTGCGCTAGATGCAGAGGTGTGTGTGTGCACGCACGCGCTAGATGCAGAGAGGTGTGTGTGTGCACTAGATGCGGAGAGGCGTGTGCGCGCGCTAGAGGCGGAGAGGTGTGTGCGCGCGCGCTAGAGGCGGAGAGGTGTGTGTGTGCGCGCGCTAGATGCGGAGAGGTGTGTGTGTGTGCGCGCACTAGATGCGGAGAGGTGTGTGTGCGCGCTAGATGCAGAGGTGTGTGTGTGTGTGCACGCATGCACAAGATGCAGAGAGGTGTGTGTGTGTGCGCGCCCTAGATGCGGAGAGGTGTGTGTGTGTGCACACTAGATGCAGAGAGGTGTGTGTGTGTGTGTGTGCGCACTAGATGCAGAGGTGTGTGTGTGCGCTAGATGCAGAGGTGTGTGTGTGTGTGCACGCACGTGCTAGATGCAGAGAGGTGTGTGTGCACTAGATGCGGAGAGGTGTGTGTGCGTGCGCGCCCTAGATGCGGAGAGGTGTGTGTGTGCGCGCGCTAGAGGCGGAGAGGTGTGTGTGCGCGCGCGCTAGAGGCGGAGAGGTGTGTGTGTGCGCGCGCTAGATGCGGAGAGGTGTGTGTGTGTGCGCGCGCTAGATGCAGAGAGGTGTGTGTGCGCGCTAGATGCAGAGGTGTGTGTGTGTGCACGCACGCACTAGATGCAGAGAGGTGTGTGTGTGCACTAGATGCAGAGAGGTGTGTGTGTGTGTGCGCGCCCTAGATGCGGAGAGGTGTGTGTGCGCGCGCTAGATGCAGAGAGGTGTGTGTGTGTGTGTGCGCACTAGATGCAGAGAGGTGTGTGTGTGCGCTAGATGCAGAGGTGTGTGTGTGTGTGCACGCACGCGCTAGATGCAGAGAGGTGTGTGTGCACTAGATGCGGAGAGGTGTGTGTGCGTGCGCGCCCTAGATGCGGAGAGGTGTGTGTGCGCGCGCTAGAGGCGGAGAGGTGTGCGCGCGCGCTAGAGGCGGAGAGGTGTGCGCGCGCGCTAGAGGCGGAGAGGTGTTGCGCGCGCGCTAGAGGCGGAGAGGTGTGTGTGTGCGCGCGCTAGAGGCGGAGAGGTGTGTGCGCGCGCGCTAGAGGCGGAGAGATGTGTGCGCGCGCGCTAGATGCGGAGAGGTGTGTGTGTGTGCACGCATGCACAAGATGCAGAGAGGTGTGTGTGTGCGCTAGATGCAGAGAGGTGTGTGTGTGTGTGCGTGCGCTAGAGGCAGAGAGGTGTGTGTGTGCTAGATGCAGAGAGGTGTGTGTGTGCGTGCACGCGCTAGATGCAGAAAGGTGTGTGTGTGTGTGTGTGTGTGTGTGTGTGTGTGAGAGATGAGGGGCTTCTCTCCATGTGTGACCTAAGCAATTAGAAACAGTTGTGGAACTGGACGAAGGGGACAAAGACAGCCCCTTCCTTTAGTCTTTCCCCAAGGCCCTCCCCCTCCACCCAAGCCTTCCTAGGTAACTTCTCAGGCTGTATTATCAGCTCTCCCAGCAGGGCTGAGGCCCCGGGGTTCTAGGAGGCTCCACCCTGCCCAGGTCTCAGTCTGGGGACAGTCCCTTTTCCTAAAGGGGTCCATCCCACCTCCCCCCAACACACACATTCCTTCCCCGTTGCTTGGAGGCCCAGGGACTGGCCTGATCAGGCCAGGGCAGCTGTGCCGGCTGGGCTGGAGAGGATCTGGTGGGGGAGGAGGGAGGAAGGCAAGTGCCTTGCCGCCCCTCTGGGAACATCAGAGCAAAAAGCAGGGCCTCTTCCGAGTGCCTCCAAGGGCTCCTCTGCCCAGAGCTCAGTACATGCCCTGGGGCTCAGAGCTCCACACTGAGCTGAAACCCGCCCCCGCCCCCCACCACCGTGCTGGCTAGGTTTGGGCTGAGCCATATTCTGGACAGGATCCAGTTGGCCCCAACAGGACCCCTGAGCTCCTGTTCCCCAACCCCTGGCCCCAAGATTAGACAGCAGCACTGAAAGCCCTGGACACAGAGGGGCATCTCTTTCAGATCAGCCCTTGGTGGAGACAGGAACATGAGGCTAGGGAGCCACCCTGGCCATGAAACAGAGACAGGACACGCAGGGAAGCACCCCGGCGTCTGTTAGTCAGCCTGACATGGGGCTCACCCCAGCCTCACAACACCTGGGAATACTGACATCCTCCCCTTCGGAAGAGGAAACTGAGGCCCAGGAGGTAAAAGCACGTGCCTGAGGTCATGTTCAGCCGCACTGGAGAAAGTACACAGCTCCTCAGGTTTAGAAGCCCACCCTGATGGCTCAGTTGTTAAGTACCTGCCTTCAGCTCAGGTCATGATCCCAGGGTCCTGGGCTCGAGCCACTGTCGGGCTCCCTGATCAGTGGGGAGTCTGCTTCTCCCTCTGACTCTCCCCCTCCCCCCACCCACTTGTTCTCTCTCTCTCTCAAATAAATAAATAAAAAATCTTAAAAAAAAAAAAAAAACCAAGAAGCCCACCCTGACCCCAGCAGGGTGGGCTTCTAGACTGGCCCATCCAAGAGCATGTGGGCCTGAAGCTCCCAGTCCGGCCTTGGCTGTGGTTAGCCCCTCCAGAGCCCAGGCCCCAGGGGAGGGTCCCACCACCTGCTGGGGGATCAGCTTCACTGAAGGGAGTGTCTGCAGCTGCCCCTGAGGAATTGGACTGGAATGTCCCAGCTCCAAAGGAGGGGCAGTGGGTGAGGGGGGCCCAGGGCCCTGATGGGAGAGGGCAGCATATCCCAGTTCCACCGAGACACCTGAAGAATCAGAGCCCTGCATCTAACCCCATAGGAGTGAGTCTTAGTATCACCACAGAGTCACGTAGAGATGTATACCACTCCACAGTTTCTCTGAGCCCTTTTATTTCATCATCTGAGTTCATCTCTATAACAGCCTAGTGGGGGGCAGGCAAGGAAACTGAAGCCCAGGAGCCAGTTGCCCAAGATCCCACAATGATGAACAATTCCAACTCCTTGGGCAAGGCCCTTCTCTACTGCTGTCCCAGGCAGGGATCACCAGCTGCCCTCCATGGGCACACGCTGCAGTGTATGTATGTCCGCCCAGCCCCCCACAGCTGCGGAATCCCCCAAGGGCATCTGCAACCAGGCAGGTTTGGACCCCAGTCCCCTCAGCATGGAATTCCTCCTGCCTGTGCCTGGGTTAGAGAGAAACAGCAGAAGCATTGCTGCTTGGGGACTCGGAGCCCTGGAAGCTGCTAGTTCTAGAGGCTGTGGCGGGAGAAGGCTGGCCGCATTCATTCACAGTCTCGCACATACACACCCACACTCAGCCAGCCAGCAGGGGAGCCCTGCCCAGAGGGCCCTGGGAGGAGGCTGATCATTGGGCCCAGGATGGCCTCCTGCCTCCGCTCCCTCCTTGGCTGGGCAGGGAGAGGGCACGGGGGCCAATGTCGCAGGTCAGCCAGGCTAAGCCCCAGATGCAAATGAGGAAAGCCCCAATCTGCACTGGGGGGCTGGGTACAGGGCGGGAGGCGACAGGTCCCAGCTCAGTCCTCTTTCCAGACACAGTCAGGGTCCTGATGTCGCCCTGGCCCCAGGCAGGCCCTCGCTTTGCCAGACTGGGATGGTGCTCCGGCCTCCAAGAACTGGTAGTGTCCCCACAGGACGGGGATCCCTGGTCACTAGCAGCGGGCCGGCAGCTGCCGCCCTTACAGGACAGGAGACCGGAGCAGGAAGGGGGTATCCCAGAGGGGGCGGGAGAGGGGTCTCGTGGCGAAGGTGGAGGAACAGACGATGTTGGCAACCCCACAGAATTTCCCCGCCGGGAAGATCGTGGCGGAGGCGTGGGCTCCCCAGAACTGCGGGAGGTCCGCGGGCTACCTGGGGGGCGGGAGGGGGCGCCTCTTGCTGGCCCCTCCCTGGGCCTGCCGGGAGCGGCGGAGCTGGGGTACCGAAGCCCGGGTCAGACTCCCGCGCCAAGGGCGCCTGCCCCACCCCAGCCGCGGCGCAGGGGTCCCGGGCGCTGCTCCGAGGAGAGCACATTTGCAGGGGTTGCAGAGAGCAGCGTAACCTGCCCCCTGCCCCTCCAGAGGAGCGTCGCGGTCGGTCCCTGATCCCGCGCTTCGGTGCTTCAGTGTCTGGAAGCAGGGGGCACCTGGGCGCACACCGTACCCCGTCACCCCCGCCCACTTCTCAGACGGGCACCTCGCCGGCCAAGGGCTGCTGCTTGGCCAAGGTCGCCGGGAAAGCGAGACCTCGGCGGCCCGCCCCACCCCCGAGCCCAGTCCCCGGCCCCCGGCGCGTCGCACTCACCATGCTGGCGCCGCTCCGCGCCCCCCGCGCGCTGCAATTCCCTCGCGCGGATTCGAACCCTCCCTCCAGGCACCGGCTCCGGGCGAGACTGCGAGGCGGCCCGGAGCGGCCGGCCGGCAGACGCCGGGGAAAACGCGGCCGGGCGGGCGGGCGGACGCCGGAGCCGGATCGGCGAGGGAGGGACGCGCGCTCCGCGGCGCTCGCTTGCTCGCCTGGCCCAGAGGCGGAGGGAAAACCCGGCCTGACTCACCCGCGCGCCGCCAGCCCAGAGCCCGGCCGGGCCCCCGGATGTGGGGGGCGGGGACGGGGGGCAACCCCCGCCCACCGCGAGCCAACCTGAGCCCCGCCCGGTCTCGCCGCGCCAACGCTGCCGCGGCCGGCGGAGGCGTCCCGCGCCCGAGCCGCCAGAGGTTCCCTGCCGGCTGCGCCCCGCGCCGCCGCCGCCCCGTGCGCGCCGCGCCGATCCCCGAAGGGTCGGCAGCCCCCGCGGCGCCGCCGACGTCCCCGGAGGGCTCCCTGCCCGCCCCGCTCCTCCTCCTCCTGGCCTCGCCAGCCCCTCTCCGTTTCCAGAACTCGGCAGCTCCCGGAGAGGCGCGTTCCGTCCATCACCCACAGATCCTCGCCTCCTCCTCTTAGGTAAGCATTATTACCGGTTCGGAGGTGGAGCAAAATAGTACTCCGAGAGGTGGAGAGAGAGACCGAGGTCTCTGGCTCCTGAGCGACTGAATTCGGCGCCAAGCATTTTTTATTTATTTATTTATTTATGTATTTATGTATTTATGTATGTATGTATGTATGTATGTATGTATGTATTTATTTCCGCCAGAGCCTTCTAGGGGCAGCAAGTTCAGATGCCTTCAGGGGCCAGACAAATAATGTGAGTCAAACGGGCGAAAGACAATGCAGGAGAGATGGAGACAGACAGAGATGGACACTTGAAGGTATCCAGATTCAAACAATTAAAGCGCGTGTCTTCCTCAAAAAGTTAAACCTAGTCATCCTATGACCCAGCAATTCCACTCTTAGGTATATCCCCAAAATTGAAAACAGGGACCCAGGCAAGTGTTTGTACTCGAATGTTTGCCGCCGGACTCTTTACAATAGCCAAAGGTGGGCGGCAAGATCCAAATTGCCCATCCACTGATGAATGGATAAACACACTGTGGTATATCAACGTGATGGAGTAGTCTTCAGCCATAAAAAAGAACGAAGTGCTCATACCTGCTACAACATGGATGAACCTCCAAAAAAATGAGGCTAAGTGCAATAAACCAGACACAAAAGGCCCCCTATGGTAAGATTCCACTTAGATGAGGTAGGTAAGTCCAGAGAGACACAAAGCAGATTAGTGCCAGAGGCTGTAGGGAGAGACAAATGAGGAGTGATTCCTTAATGGGCATGGAGTTTCCTTTTGGGATAAGGAAATGTTTTGGAACCAGAGAGAGGTGGTGGTTGCACAACCTTGTGAATGTACTAAATGCCTTTGAACTGTACACTTGAAAATGGTTGATTTTATTTTATTTTATTTTTTTTAAAGATTTTATTTATTTGACAGAGACAGAGATAGCGAGAGCAGGAACACAAGCAGCAGGAGTGGGAGAGGGAGAAGAAGGCTTCCCGCTGAGCAGGGAGCCCGATGTGGGACTCAATCCCAGGACACTGGGATCGTGACCTGAGCCGAAGGCAGACGCTTAACGGCTGAGCCACCCAGGCGCCCTGAAAATGGTTGATTTTATGGTGTGGGAATTTTACCACAATGAAGAAGAGAAATTGTGTCCCCCGTGGATCATTCTGGGCCCATGGGTCACCAATTTGCAACCCCTTGTCTTTAGTGCTGTCCTTACCCATTTGCCCAGAGCCCGGCCGGGCCCCCGGAAGTGCCAAACTTAAGGGGACTCATCTCTAAGAAAACTCTCTACTACTCTGGATGTTAGCCCTCGAGGAGCACCCCAGTCTGGTGGGGTTACTCGCTGGGACAGATGAAGGTTCAGCACAAGGACACGCTTCACCTTTCGGGGGACCCAAGGAAGGGCCTCATTGGGGAGATGGCTTTTGAGGTGGTACTTGACGGATGGGAAGCATTTCCATGGAGGAAGGGGCTCACCGTGGTCAGGAGCCTCTAGCCAGAGAAGGCAGAGAACATTCTGGGGAATGCAAGCTTATTAATTAGAAATAGGTGCTGGGGAGGGTGGCTCCCGGATGGCTCAGTTGGTTAAGCCTCTGATTCTTGATTTCAGCTCAGGTCATGATCTCAGGGTCCTGGGATGGAGCCCTGAGTTGGGGCTTGCTTTATCTTGCTTTGTCTCCCTCTTCCTCTGCCCTTCCCCCGCTCGTGCTCTCTCTCTTTCTTTTCTTTTTTTTTTTTTTAAAGATTTTATTTATTTATTTGAGAGAGAATGAGAGAGAGCACATGAGAGGGGGGAGGGTCAGAGGGAGAAGCAGACTCCCTGCTGAGCAGGGAGCCCGATGCGGGACTCGATCCAGGGACTCCAGGATCATGACCTGAGCCGAAGGCAGTCGCTTAATGAACTGAGCCACCCAGGCGCCCATCTCTCTTTCAAATAAATAAATAAATCTTAAAAAAAAAAAAAAACCAACTATGTGCCAGGAGCCTCTGAGTTGTTGAGAGAGGGAGGTGTGAGGATCAAGCTGGACTTTGGGGTATTGTGTACCCAGGCCCTGTGTAGAGGTCAAGGCAGGGAGGCTGGACTATAGGGATCTCAGGGAACAGAAACAGAGACACGCGGGGCGCCTGGGTGGCTCAGTCGGTTAAGCGTCAGCCTTCTGCTCAGGTCATGATACCAGGGTCCTGGGATCGAGCCCTGCCCCTCGGTCTCCCTGCTCTGCGGGGAGCCTGCTTCCCCCTCTCCCTCTGCCGCTCCCCCTGCTTGTGCTCTCTCTCCCTGTCAAATAAATTTTTTTAAAAAATTAAAAAAAAAAAAAAGAAAAGAAAAGAAACAGAGCCACAGAAGGCAGGGGCAGTGGGGAGAGGAAGAGATGGAGGAGGTTCATGAGATAGTTTGAATGCAGAATTGTCTTGTTTTGGCAAGAAATTACATGAGGAGAAGGTGGGGCATCAAAGATAAGTTCTGGTGAAAACTCAGATTCACCCCCTCCCCTTTTTGTTGTTATAAACATGGCAACTTATCCAAGATCGTGACCCCCGAGTCCAGTGTTCTTTCCCGGCACCAGGCTGCCAGAGGGAGGCAGGAGGGGAAGGATGTGCAGTATTTTGGAACCTCCCAACAGGAGGGTTGTTTAGCACCAGGAGGGGAGGGGAGAAGGGCAGGAGGGTCCTGGCTGAACGGAATCCCTAGAAAGCGGCTCCCCCAGCAAAGAAGGGCAACTGCAGAGCAGAGGTCTGTTGAACCTGTTGAACTTCTCTGAAGCCGGCTGGGTGCAGAATGCAGGGGGCTGGAGCTGGCAGGGTCGGGGGAGGTGCACCAGAGCAGCCTGGCTCTATCCCTCTAGCAGAGCTCTCGATCAAAGAAACTAAACTGTCCACGCCCCCTCCAGCCTGGACAAGGCTGTCTGTCCCTCACCTCTTGCACGGGCTCTGGGCTGCAGGCTGCCAAGAACACCCCACACCACCACCACCCCTCCCTGGAAGTTGGGAAGCCGGCCTGGCAGATGCTCCTTCCTGCCTGGCTTCTCTGAGCCTTTAGAGTTTGTCCTGCTCCCCCTGGATGGGGAGTGCGGGGGCCCAAGGGAACCAGCTGCCCCAGGGGAGAGGCAGCTTTGGTCCCAATCCAAAGAGTGCCTCCTTGTCCGCCTCCACATACCCTGTGCCCTTCACCTTCATGCCCTCCTACACAGATTCACAAGCACATACCTTAGGGCGTAAACCATAGAGCATTCACATTGAACCCTTGGGTCCCTTCTGTCCAACCTCCTCTGATGGAAAAACTCCCCCCAAACACACATCAGAACTAGTTACTGGCAGAGCTGGCCCTGGGAGCTGGGTCTCTTGCCTCCTAGCCTGCCAGGTTCAGCCACAATGCCCCGGTGCCAAGGGCTGAGGCCCTGAGGGCACGAGGCCACGAGAAAGGAAGCAAGCTCCGTGGCTGCAACCACTTCCGGAATCGGCTGACCTTGGACCATTTACTTTCTGTCTGTGCACCTCCGTTTTCTCATCTCAAACAAGGGGCTCGTGTGAAATAACATCTGCAAAGCACACAACGCGGCTCCTGGCAGATGGTAGGCGTCTGAACATGTTAGTTTGTCCTTCTCCCTTCTGACGGGAAAAGGAGGAAAGGTTGTCAGAAGGACAGAATGCTTCCTGGAGCCCGTCTTGAAGTGGCTGGCCCCCATCCAGCGTGCACTTGTGGTGCCTTGGGTCTGTCTCCCCAGGCAAGGATGTGCATGAGACTGGCCGGGACTCTAACATCCGGGAGCTGCTCGTGGAGCCTAGGAATGGTCCCCTTGACTCTGGCTGCCTGGGCTCCCAGCTGTCGCCCACCCTGCCCCAGAGGGTGCATCCCAGCCCACGCATTCCGTCCCCAGTCTCCCCTGCTGGAGCGATGGCATCCCCAGCTTTAGGACCGGTCCTGCAGCTCCTTCGGGCCCGACCCCTGCCCCAGCCCGGTGTGCCTCTGCCCTGGGGGCTGCCTCAGTGTCCTCATCTGTAGGCGCCAGTCTTGGGGAGAGTGCATTGAGGGCACTATGTCCCTCTTCCGGCCCCGCCCCCATCCGCTGTTACTGTGGCAACACGAGTCGCAGTGCAGATTCGTGGCTCATCTGTCTGTCACCCTCAGGAGACAGCAAGCCCCGAACACACAGCGACCGGACCCCAGTCTATGTCCAGACTCTCCCAGGGCCTCCTCCAGGACCTGACGGTTGGCTGGGTTCAGCTCCAACACACCATCTGCAAAAAAGCCACTTTGTGGCATTGCGACTGTCAGGGTCGAGCCGGTACCACCAAGTGCGGCCGCCCCGCCACCACACCCAGGGAGATGTGCCCCCCACCCTGGGGTGAAAGTGGACTCCCGGGACCTGGGCGGCCCTCCCTGAGTCACCCGTGCCGGGGAGGAGCCTTTATTCACCCCCGCTGCCCGCCCTCCCCCAGTGACTGGGGCAGCCCCAGGCTGCGGGTTAGGGTGGAAGCTGAGAGCTGCCAGGGCTTGCTCGGGTGCCTGTCCTGGGGCAGAGAGCTCAGACCTGCAGGAGCCAGCTGGAACTGCAGTGCCAACGCCACCCCAAGTCGAGGCCGCCTGGCTGGCCCACTGGCGGGTCCCCAGAAACCTGGCCCCAGGCCCGGCTGCCACCCGGATGGAGCTGGGGAGACCTGGCCTCTCCCATCCCTCCATCAGAGGGAGTTACGGGTGGGACGGGGTGAAGGGAGTATTAAGAGAAACCTGGGGAAGTCACTGCAAAACTGCACATCAACAGGATGAAGGTGTTCTAGAAATCAGTTGCACCACAGCACGAATGTGCCTAACCACCGAACTGCACGCTTACAAATGGTTACCATGGCAAATTGCGTGTTATGTGTATTTACCACAGCTGAGAAAATGTACAAAGGGAGGGAAAAAAACGTCAGGTTATGGACGCCTGGGTGGCTCAGTCGATTAAGCGTCTGCCTTCGGCTCAGGTCATGATCCCAGGGTCCTGGGATCGAGTCCCACATCAGGCTCCTTGCTTGGCGGGAAGCCTGCTTCTCCCTCTGCCTCTGCCGCTCCCCCTGCTTGTGCTCTCTCTCTCTCTCTCTGACAAATAAGTAAAATCTTAAAAAAAAAAAAAAAAAGTCAGGTCACCACATTGAACACCCGACACGAATGTAACATTGTGTGTCCACTACGCTCAAAATAAAAAAAAAAACGAAAGAAATGAAAAAGAAAGAAAAACCAGCGGTACACTGGAGTGAACTTGAATCCTCACATTCCCGCATCCCCTGAAAGACGCTGGTGGAGGGTCAGTCATTTCCCTTTGAACAAGGACTTCACCTAGATTACGTTTACTTATTTATTTTTTTTATTTTTTCACCTAGATTACTTTTAAAGCTTCATTACAGAAATTTCCAAATATGCACAAAGGTCAAGAGGAGAGAATGAAAACCCTCCCAGGTACTCATCACCGCACTTTAGGATTTTATTCGTCTCCATATAAACCCTCCCTCCATGCCCCCTCCCCTCCCCCACTCCCAGGTTACTTAAAAGCCAATTCGGGACATTATATTTCGCCCATCGATATTTTCAGTGTAGACAAACATTTTACATTGTAATTGGCATTCGTTTTAGGGTGTGTGGTTGCTCCGGTACCATGGCCAAAGACAAAGCTGAAGGGTTCGGGCTCCTGGGGAATCGGCCAGGCAGGCCTCTCTGCTGTGCCCTCCACCAGCCCTCGGGCCACCTGCCCATGGACATGGCTCTCCTGAGAGAGAATGGGGAAGCTCTCCCCTCTAGGAAAGGCCAGGAGGAGTGATCTTGGGGTCACCTGTGGGACTCCTGCCCATGTAGAGAAATGAGCTCATATGCCAGTTCGTGCTGTCTCGGTGCCAGGAAGGGGCTGTTTTCCACGGAGTACAGGAGCCACAGCCCTGAGCGGTCAGGTCCTGGGCTTGGGGGAAGGGTCTCAGGCACCTGGCCACCCACCCACTCCCTTACTTACGTGTCCACCCAGTGGGCCCCTCACCCACCCTTCCATCTGCCCACATCCTGCCGGTCAGCCAAGTCGGGGCACGGCCCTCGCTGCCCTGGGCCCTGGTACTTGAGGTGTCCCAGACCTTAAAGTTGGAAAATCAGCACCCTCTCCCCTGCCTCTTCTGCTGAGGCAGAGATTTTCCTTGGCCTCAGCTCTCCTGCTTCCTCGGCCTGCTGAGTAGATGTGCACGACACAGCCTTCCTATCTGGCTTCCGTCCCCAGCCCACAGCAGGCCCAACTCACGGAGCCATGCACCTGAACATTTACCCAGCCCCACCCAGGGGAGCCAGACAGGCTCACACACACCCTCACCTGCCACGCCCCCACCCCACCTTCCAGCCCAACCTACCTGGGCAGCAGCTCCCCTCCCACTCTGTCCACCCACCCAGGCCCACACACAGATCCTCCCGGGGTCAGCAAGGTCCTCCACGCCTGTGTTCGTCATGCCCTTGGCAGGTGTGGAGGTCGGGGGTTCAGGCCCTGTACCAGCCTCTTACTTTGCATACAGCTGCTAGCCTCAGGGGGCTTACCAGGCTGATGGGGACACAGACCACCCGCCATCCCTGGGCTAGGTCCCCCACATGAGCTGGTGGGAAGGTCACACAACCTACCAAAGAGCCTGTTGTGGGGCGATCCTCTGGGAAGCAGATGCTGACATGGGGTTCGGGGTGCAAGGGTTTATGCATGGGAGCACCTGGGAAAGAGAGGAAGCAGGATTGGGCAGAGGGCACCACCCGGCAGCACAGGACCCCAGTGGTTCTGTGTTATTTGGAAATAGTTTGAGACTTAGAGAAAAGTTGTGGAAAAAAAAAAAAGTAGAGTTCGCTGATATCCTTGATCCTTGACTCAGCTTCCCCCTGTGTTAACATCATACATACCCACAGCACAGTGATGACAGTGAAGGGCTTAGCAGCGGCCCAGTCTTATAAACTACAGGCTTCATCTAGATTCAGCCAGCTTCCCACCAACACCCTTTTCTGGTTCAGGATCCAGCCACGTGCTGTGCGCTGTATCCGTTCCTGTTCTTTCATACACTCGGTCTTCCGCTAGATGGACCCACCTATTGACCATGGATTTTGTCCTTCCTTCCTTCCTTCCTGTGTCCACGATCTTCCTTCGTGGATCATTTTCTGTCTCTCTGCAGAAACACTCGTTAGCTTCCCTTAATAGCGGTCTGCTGGTGGCCTGGTCTCCCAGTTTTTGCCTGAGGACATCTTGATAGTGTTTCTTCTTGGAGGATTGTTTCTCTGAGTATAGAATTCTAAGTTGTCAGTAATTTTCTTTCAGTACACGGAAGCTATTGTTTGACCGTCTGTTGCCTTCCATTTTTGCTGTTGAGGAGTGAGGTGCAGTCCAATTGTGTGCATCAGGCAGGTGTCGCTATGACAAACATCCCCCTCTGTCTCCTCCGCTTGCAACAACAAAGGTTTATTTTTAGCTCGCTTTTCATGCCCTGGAGTAGTCAGCTGCAACTCCTACCTGGGACTCGCTAGTCTCCTGGCAGAGGGAAAAGAGCCATGGCAAAATCATGGGATGGCTCTTAAAGCTTTTTCTGAGAAGTGACAGCAGGTGTTGCTTATCCTTAAATATCATTACCCTTGCATGTCACTGGCTAAAGCCTCATGTCACCAGGGTGGAAAAATACTAGCTTCCCACAGGAACTGGTGGCAAATAATCGGGGACAAAGAATGCGATCTACCATGTTCTCTGTGGCTCCTTAATTTTTTAAAAAAGATTTTATTTATTTGTTTGTTTGTTTGTTTGTTTATTTAGAGCGTGCGTGCAATTGTGAGCAGGGGGGAGGGGCAGAGGGAGAGGGAGAGAGAATTCCAAGCAGACTCCATGCTGAGTGCAGAGCCCAACACGGGGCTCAATCTCATGACCCTGAGATCATGACCTGAGCCAAAACCAAGAGTCAGACGCCCAACGGACTCAGCCACCCAGGTTTCCCCTCTGTGGCTCCTTTAAGGAGTTCTGGATCCCTTAGGGTCCACTTAGGAAAACATAAACCATGCTAGTTTTTTCAAAGGGGATATAATACACAAAGTGGATTGTTTACACAGATTTTGGAAGGCCAAAAGAGCAAAAGAGGGTGCTGAGGTTAGCCCAGTTTACAGTTTCCTCTCCTGGGCTTGGGAAGAGGTAAGGTTAATAGCAGCTAGGGTCTTGGAGGAGGACCCCCACCTGGGGACCCTCAGAAGAGGGGTCCTGATGGCTTGGGCTATTGCCTGCAAGGGGATTTGGCCCGGATGATGCTGGGAGTGTTGAAAGGAGCTGGAGGTGCCTGAAGTGAAGCCCACAGGAAGGAATCCCCTTCTTCCACCTGCTAATCTCCCTCTAGTGCCTCCCACTGGCCGAACCAAACAGGAAGTCAGTTGGCAAGGCAGCCTGGGAAATGTAGTTTGCACACCCTAGCCCCAGCATCACAGGACAGGTTGGAGCCTGAGTAGTAACCTGAGAGACAAGAGGTAACCAGCACTATTATCTATTATTTTCCTCTGGGTGCTTTTACCGTTCTTCTCTCCATCTTGGATTTTCTACATTTTTACCATGATCAAGGGTCAAGGTGTGGATTTCTTTTTATTTATTCTGCTTGGGATCCATTTCAGCTCTTAAACCTATAGATAGATATCTTCCATCCAGGGCGCCTGGGTGGCTCAGTCGTTAAGCATCTGCCTTTGGCTCAGGTCATGATCCCAGGGTCCTGGGATCGAGTCCCACATCGGGCTCCCTGCTCGGCAGGAAGCCTGCTTCTCACTCTCCCACTCCCCCTGCTTGTGTTCCTGCTCTCACTATCTCTCTCTCTGTCAAATAAATAAATAAAATCTTAAAAAAAAAAAAGATATCTTCCATCCATTCTGGAAAATTCTCAACCATCATCTTTTCAGATATTGTCTCTGTTCCGGTCTCTCTTTCTTCTCTTATTCTGGGACTGAAATTAGACATATGTGAGATCTTCTCTCTGTAACTTCCATATCTGTAAACTTTTCTTCTGTATTTTCCATCCTGTTTTTTCTCTCCACACTTCTTCCCGGGTTGTTTCTTCTGACCAGCCTTCCAGTTCTGTAATTCATTCTTTAGACGTGTTGTAAAATCTGCTGTTAAACAGTCCATGAAATGTATAATTTTAGTTTTTAGTTTCAGTTTATTCCTTTTTCACATGTGCTATAGACTTTTATAGAGTTTCCTGCTCCCTGCTGAAGTTTCAATTTTGGTACTTAACTTCTTGAGCATAGTAGGTGTAATTTGTTTTATAGTCTGGAATTCTTTCAGTTCTATTTCTGTTGACTGTCATTGCAGATGGGCTTAGTTCAAGGTTTTAGTTCAAGGAGTCTTGCCTCCTCATGTGTCTGGTTGATTTTGTCATTTGCCAAAGAGAATTTTCTATTGCTTTTGCCAGGTGCCCAGAGGGATCAGCAAACTGAGATCATGTTAGTTCATACTTAGGGCATGATGTTGCCCCAGGATGACTCAGAGCTGGACTATGATTCAGGAAAGGGCTGGTTTGCTTTCAGTTCACCTTTACTTCTAGGGTGTAGTCCTTTGGGGCTTAACCCAATGTAGGGTTTATTGGGACCCAACCTATGGCAGGCCCCCGACTCTGTTTTGTTTTTTTTTTAAGATTTTATTTTTAAGTAATCTCTACACCTAATGTGGGACTCAAACTCACAACCCTGAGATCAAGAATTGCATGCTCTACCAACTGAGCCAGCCAGGTGCCCCATCCTGACTCTGATTTTTGTCTCTAGCTGCGCAAGGCCACTAGAAGTGAGCTTGCCCTCCCAGCTACTTATTTTCAATTGGCAAAAGCTTCTAGGGCAATTGCGTCCTCAAGTATCAGGGTCACCTCTCTGAAATCGTATCCTCTCCCGGACCTCTGCACAGCCATTCCTATCTTGTTAGTCTTGGTCATGAGTAACCAAATGGGTGATGGTCCCAAAATCAAAGACAGATGTTGGAGAGGAGGAACAATTTGGTAAGAGAAAATCAGCAGTTTGGTTTTGGGCATCTATATTTGATGAGGCTTTGGGATGTCTAAGTGAGAACATTCTGTGGGGAGTTGCATATTTGTGTCTGGAGTTCAGGCAATTATATAAAATTACAAGTCTTCAACAAGTGAGGGGCATTTTGACCCTGTGGTTTCCTTGAATGGAAATATCTTGATTAGAATTTTTTTCAAGGATTTTTATTTATTTATTTGAGAGAGAGAGAGAGGGAGAGCACAAGCCTGGGGAGACACAGAGGGAGAGGGAGAAGCAGATACCCTGCTGAGCAGGGAGCCCAACGCGGGGCTCGATCCCAGGACCCTGGGATCATGAGCTGAGCTAAAGGCAGATGCTTAACTGAGTCACCCAGGCACCCCTAGAATTTTTTATTTTAATTAGAATTATGATTTTTCTTCTTGGGTCAATAAAGCATTTTTGGAGTAAATTACATTAAAGCAAATTAACTTCTTTTTTTTCCTATAATTGATACACAACATTAGATTAGTTATAGGTATACAATATTATGATTCAAATTTGTATATATTGCGAATGATCAGTACAATAAGTCTAGTTAACATCTGTCACCATACATGATTACAGAATTTTTTTTCTTGTGATGAGAACTTTCAAGATCTACTTTCTTAGCAACTTTCAAATATGCAATACAGTATTAGCAACTATAGTCACCATGTGCTACTCAATACCATACATCCCCATGACTTATTTAATTTATAACTGGAAGTTTGTACCATTTGAACTCTGTCATCCATTTCAGCCATCCCCTGCACCCCACCCCCTGCCTCTGGCAACCACCAGTCTGCTCTCTCTATCTTTGAGCTTGGTTTTGTGTTTATCTTTGTTTTTTAGATACCACGTCTAAGTGAGATCGTGTGGTATTTGTCTTTCTCTGTCTGACTTGTTTCACTTGGCATAATGCTGTCAAGGTCCATCTGTGTTGCCACAAGTGGCAAGATTCCCTTCTTTTTTATGGCTAAATGTTCCATGGTATACATAGGTCACATTTTCTTTATCCATTCATCCATTGACGGACACTTAGGCTGCTTCCATCCTTTGGCTATTGTAAATCATGCTGCAATGAACATGGGGGTGCATAGGTCTTTCTGAGTTCGTGTTTTCGTTTTCTTCGGGTACATAACCCAGAAATAGAATTGCTGGATCATAGGGTAGTTCTCTTTTTAAATTATTGAGGAACTCTATACTGATAATAGCCTTCTGACAGGTGTGAGGTGATGTCTCCTTGTGGTTTTGACTTGCATTTCCCTGATGACGAGTGATGTTGAGCACCTTTTCATGTACCTCTTGGCCATCTGGATGTCTTCCTTGGACAGATGTCTATTCCGATCCTCTGCCCATTTGCCCTTTGCTTTTGGGATCAAATCCAAAAAATCATCGCCAACACTGATGTCAGAGCTTACTGCCTATGTTTTCTTCTTGGAGTTTTATGGTTTCAGGTCTTCCGTTTAAGTCTTTAATTCATTGTGAGTTCACTTTTGTGTTTGGTATAAGATAGTGTCCCCATTTCATTCTTTTGCACGTGGCTACCCAAAGCAAATTAACTTCTTGATCTAAAATTAAGTACAGCACAGTCAAGCCATTTCTTATTTTTTGCATTTAAATTTTATTTTGCCAAAATTACTTTCATGGCTATCCCTTCTTTTCAATTTAATTTTATTCAATCTAATTTTTAAAAAAGATTTATTTATTTATTAGGGAGGGAGAGAGCACCAGCAGGGGGAGCGGCAGGCAGAGGGAGAAGCAGACTCCCTGCTGAGCAGGGAGCCCTATGTGGTACTCCATCCCAGGACCTCAGGATCAGGACCCGAGCCGAAGACAGACGCCTAACCGACAGAGCCACCCAGGCGCCCTATTCAATCTAAACAAAGTCAATTTCTGCATCAGTCAGTTTGTATTTACTTCCGCAACTTTTACTTCTGTCAGTGCCAGTCTCCTGGATCAGGTTTTGCAGGTCTCCGTTGTGTCAAGCAGAGGCGACTTTTCTAACATTTTTAAGGCAATCGTACATTTTACCGTGTGCGGATTTCTTACCATGTGCGGGTTTCTTTATCAGTTTCGTTTTGTGTGGTTGGGTGGAGGAGGGAAGGTCTACATTTCTTAGGGAATCCAGG